TTTTCGAGACAGGGTTTCTCTGCGTAGTTTTGCGCCTTTCCTGGAGCTCACTTGGTAGCCCAGGCTGGCCTCGAACTCACAGCGATCCGCCTGCCTCTGCCTCCCGAGTGCTGGGATTAAAGGCGTGCGCCACCACCGCCCGGCTTTATTTTGTTTTAAGAGAGTGTAGCTTCTAGACTTAAACAATTTTTGCTTCTGAGAGTAAGACTTGGTGAAAAAAAAAATCAGCAATTTTTAAATGGTCATATGAAACTACTGCAAAATGTACTGCATATACTCAAACATCCCTTAGCAGACAGTTAATTCTTTGGCTTCCAAATAAGGATGCTTTTAATTGAATACAATTCAGAAGAAATCCTTACAAACACTTTAGCAGTGCCAGAAATCTCTTAAATGGCACCTAATTCATTACTTTGATCATCTTCTTGGCTGAGCTCCCTACAGTCCACTATGTGATATTATCTTGTATAAAATAAAGTGCTTGGCAGAAGTACTGTAAGAGGAAGTCTTAACATCTCTTTCCAAACATTAGCATCCCAGCTTGTATCATCTGACCCATCCAGCTATTTTCTATTCATGTTAAACTAACACAAAGCCTTTCCATCTACCTTCTGTGTCAGTACCACAAAGCACCTACAGAAATCCCTTTTTCTTCTGTGACTCTTCTTAACATTACACTATATGTCTAATTTATAAAAACAACAACAGAGACTGTCAATAGAGAATGTGGATGAGAGCTGGGCGGTGGTGGCGCACTCCTTTAATCCCAGCACTCGGGAGGCAGAGCCAGGAGGATCTCTGTGAGTTTTAGGGCAGCCTGGGTTACAGAGTGAGATCCGTCAGTCACCAAAACTACACAGAGAAATCCTGTCTCAAAAAACAAAAAAGAATGTGGGTGTAGGGGCTAGTGAGATAGTTCATCATATAAAGACACCTGCCACCAAGCCTGAGGACCTGAGTTTTATCCCTGGGACCCACATGGTGGAAAAGAGAAAAGTAACTCATGTTTTGTAGTTTTACATTTTTTGTCAATGAAGGCTCCTTCTTTCTCATCATCACTGCCTGAAATTTTTAACCTGGATTATTATTTTTTATTTGCTTTATTTTTTTTGAGATAGGGTTTCTCTGTGTAGTCCTGGAACTGGCCCTATACATCAGGCTGGCCTCAAACTCAGAAACCTGCCTGCCTATCTCACAAGGGCAGTGATTAAAGGCATATACCACTACACCTAGCTAGTCTGGATTATTTTAATTCTGTTTTTACTCAGCTTTCCTCTAGCACATTTCTGACTCAGAATTCTAACTTCCTTCAGTCATTGTAAGCTAATTTAAGGATCTATGATCCACACTGAAAACCTCACCATCTCACCCTCTGCATCAAAACTGTAACACATCTCTCCATTCAGCACTGGGCTAGGTGTTGAGGTCATCACTACAAATGAAAGATGCAGAAACTCTACTTGTAAGATTCTGAATTGTAGTTCTTTTTTCAAGTCCTGTGTTTCAAATACAAGTCAGATTTCTTTAGAGTTACCTACATGATATCAAAAAAGGCAGTTCCAATGCTGCTGTAATCATTACAGTTAAATGAATTTTGGAGTCAAATTATCAAAATCATTATCCTTACTAGCGATCAATTCTTTGGGTATTTGCTTCATCTCTCTTACTGAATCCTTCTGTGACTCACTGGTAAAATATAAGGTCACAACACAACCTCATACAGTTTATAGAAATTGATGAGGTAACATCTCCTCTGCTTATAAGCTCTTTCCTATCTACTAATAGCCATTTATTAGTGCTATTACTCCCCTCTCCAAAGCCTTCAACATGTAATACTAAAGTCACTATGGCTCTTTGTATACAAAGGACTCTACTCCTTCAGACTTTCCAGATTGATCAGATTACTTCAAATCACCAGCTTTACTCTACCTAGACTTAGAACTCCCCAAAAACGTTCCGCTGTCTGGTTGGTTGTTTATATATTGCCTTCAAATCAAAGAAAATAAAAGATGTATTTTTTATTTGCATTTCATCCTAATACAGCTATTTATTCAGATATTGATCATTTTAAAAAATCCCAAGTCTGCCTTGGCAGTATTTTTTTTTTTTACTTTCAATTTTAAATTCCTAGGAAACAGATGTTCCAACTACAACCTACACAGAACTAAAACACAAGACCCACCTAGGCCCTACTAGAGGAAGTCCTTAACATAAAATAGAATCACAAATGAAATAAAACAAAACCCGAGCATTATCAGGGCCAGAGAAATGGCTCAGAGGTTAAGACCATATACTGTTCTTGAAGAGGATCCAAGTTCAGTACTCAGAACCCACACCAGGCAGCTCACAACTGTAACTCCAACTCCAGGGGATCCAGCTGCCTCTTCTGGACTCCATGAGTACTGCACCCAACATGTACAAAACCTACACCAGACATACACACATATTTAAAAAACCCTAAGAATAAAAACTGAAATCTTAGTTGCTATTAATTAACTGTTAGGTGTTCTATTGCAGGAACCTGCTTACAGCACTGAAATGAACAAATGCAGCTTCTCTAAATCCACAACAATTACTTATATATAAAAAAACAAAAACAATTTCAAGTTTGACTTACTCAAATTCTGTAGCATAATATTTAAGAAAGCCCAGTAAGAGGTCCCCAAGACTTGATTCATTCTTTGAGAGGTAAGGAGGAACATTACATGGAGTATGATGTACAAGGTGCAGCTGTACAGAAGTACTAAAAGACTCCTGTGGGAAGAAAAAGGGAGAAGACACAATGCCACTGAAAACATATACTAACAACTTTTATCAATCCTGATCTAGGTTCTTTGAAGTCAGAAGCTTTTTTTTTTTATTTTTTTTTTTTTATTTTTTTTTTGTGCTGGTAATTTAGAAATTTGAAGATGTTCTTTCACTTAAAGTCTCACCAGTAAGGCATAAAGTATATGAAAAACCTTGGTTCTAGTTTTTGGCTTGAGTGTATCATTATGGTAGCAAAATTCAAGCATGAGTCAAACTTTATTATAAATACCATGATTCTCCCCAAAGATACATATTTATAAATATACTTGCCTAATTATTTCTACAGTGAAGTTGTATGTTATGTATAGAGATATCAAGCACGAGGCAATGGCTTTTTCCAACTGCCACTTAACATAATACTCCTCTCAAAGGCCGTAAAAGCTTCAATATATGAATAGTGCAGTTTTTTTGAGACTTTCAAACTTGTTTGATTTTGCTGTTGTATTTTTAATGGAAATAGAAGATAGCTATTCCATGTGAGCTGAACTTCAAAAGACGATGGGAGGGAAAAGAACATAGAATACATACAAACAAACAAACATTTATCATAGTTATTTACAAAGGAATTATTAGCTGTGTGATCTAGGTCTAAATAAGGCATCTATTATAAAGACTATGAATGAGTACTTTCTGTACTAAAGCTGATTGTATTCACTTTCTTATATGACCTTTCTTCTATTAGCAGCAAGTTCTGGATCTGAACAGGGTGATTTTCAAGTAATACATAGTCATAAAGATTCCCCCCTCCTTTTTTAAATGGAGATTCTCTACCCCAGGCTAGTCTCAAACTCAGTATGTAGCTGAGGATGACCTTGAATTTCCAATCTTCCTAGCTCTATGTCCCAAGCAGTAAGATTATAGGTATGCACCCACACCCACTTTTTTATGTGGTGTTGGGGTCCAAACGAGGGCCTTATGCATACCTGGAAGGCACTCACATCACTAAACTCAGCTACTTGAATTGTCTAGCTGAAGAGACAGATGTGGAGGCAGAACAGCAGCTCTATTTAACAACAGAGACTCCAGGAGAAGAAGGAGCAAATGCATTATCTCTACCTCACTTTGTCTTTCACTTTATAGGTAAAAAGATGGACTTAGGACATTATTATTTACAATTGTAAAACATGTTTTCTGACAAAGCAAATATAAAAGCCAAATATAAGAGAGATGGTAGGTATAGTTATTTTTGTCAACTAAAAAGAAAAGCAAGTCCCTGCTGAACAACTCCTACTCTGAAAGCTTTTTACTAATTTTGACTCCTACCACATTTTATCATAAACACTTGATTCAAAACAGAACACCCATTTCTTTAGTTTAAAATGTCTGACTTTCCATTCTTTTTAATTTTTTTTCAGTAATCTGAAGAAAAAGATCAGCAACTATAAGGTTAAACTAAAGAGACATGAGACCAACTCTACTACAATACTTCTATTGTCCCTTTTGGTATGACTTTATACAAGAGTCATGTAATGCTGACAGAGAACACTGAAGGAGAAAATGAAACTAAAAAAAGGACACACCACACCTAAAAGAAGCTACAAGTAAATAGGAATTAAACTTATCTGCAGAAATCCTCAGCTTGGGGTAATAATACATACTATGGAAAGATTGTCTGGCTTAAGAAAAATATGCATTACTCTGATTGCTAAGCAGGTGAGGAACTTAGGTTAATATGTTAGAAAGCATAAAGAGTACTACAAAATCAAAGGGAAAAGCAGTCTTAAAATGACAGGCGACAATCACTGGAAAGCAATTCAACCAATTACAGTTTCTGTGAGTACATTTTCCAGATTTACATTTTCTGTTGCTTAATCTTTTCTTAATTTAAGGAAGGTTTCCTCGTTACACTTTTAGGATACTCTTACTTTGAGCTTCAGATACAAAATGTGTAATGATCTTCTAATTCCTGAGAATATTTTCCAAATAATAAATAAATGTTAACTTTTTTGGATGAATATAATCTCCCATTTCTCTCTCATCAATGCCAACTTAAAATAAATTTAAAGGCAAACCATGAGAAATATCTGACAGCCTTCTGTAACTGCCTGCCAATAACAGCAAAAACACCTTAAGCCACACTCCATCATCTCAACTTTATCACTTAGACTGTTCTTCCTTTAGTTGAAGTAGTAACAACCCTCTTATAATACAGCTTTTGGGGATAATGATATGTTTATAGTTTCTCATCCTTTTTCTGTCACATTCAGTACCAAAAGTGAACTGAAATATATTAATTTTAAAAATTACTTTACCCCAGGGACTGAGGCAATAGCTTGAGGACATGAATTCAACCCTCAGAACCCAAGTGAAAAGGCTGCCCTTGGTGGCACATGCCACAGAGCAAAGTCAAAGCCAACCCGGGCTACATAAGAGGTACTGTTTAAGGCAAAAACAAAACAAAAAAGGGGTGGTGGTGGTGCATATTTTATTGTAATTCTAGAAGTGGAAAAAATGTCCCCATTGCAAAATAACAATTGTGTCAATGTAAACTTTTGAGTATTTGTAAGTTAAGAATCTGCCATGCTTTTCTTTTTAAAAGTTCATATAGGAATAGGAGCCATATACTAATAAAATAAAAAGCAACACAAGACTACAGTTATATTAGTGAATGCTAGAGTAATCTTCCCCTAGGAAATACAATATTGGGCAAATGCCTGCTTCTGAACCATTCATTTGCAACTATGTGGCTTGATTACTTATGAAAGCCCGGTCTATCACCGACATAGGCACTCATCATGCATGTCTGTTTGGGACTAAATAAACTTTGTACACTCAGCAAGTGATAGTTATTTTTAGTAAGAAACAAAGTGATCTGCTTGTTCTATCAGGCAGACCAATATGCTGAAAAGTATATGGATTTTCATATAAAACAAACCCTACATGAGAGGGGGCAGAAAGTTCTTAGGAACACACACACAAATCTTACAGCAAACAGAATAGTGTAATTTAAACAGTTAAGATGGCAACCTAACCACACCTGAATGCAAATTAAGCCACTCCTAATCTAGGGGATTTTACAATTAGTTTTTGTCTTTTATTTCAGTCTGGCCCAACTTGCTTCCTCTTGCCTCTGTCTCCCACATACTGGATGGATTACCTATGTATTCTTTCCCTACCAAGTACTTAGTATCATTTAAGGCGGTAGGACTAAATATTAAGTTTATTACCCAACACAGTCACAGAAATAGAACTATTAGCAAAAGAAGAATGGAGTACAGAGCCACAAAAAGTGAATGTGACCAGAAATCAAGATTCCAGTATGAGGGAAAAGTCAAACAATTAGAAAATTGAAACACAGAAGTCAAAACCAGGGTGTTTACTGACTCTTGCACCCCAAGCACAGTACACTGACCTGATGTTTCTCTCTTACTAGTACAAAGGACTTTACATAGCACAGGACTGCAAGTGAGATTTCCACAGATGTACATTCAATATATAATAAAAGATAGTTTTTGTCTTTTGAGACAGGATCTTGCAATATATATATATATAGCTTAAGCTAACCTCAAACTCATAATCCTCCTGGCTTAATCTCCCAAATACTGGATCACAGGTGTGTGCCACCACAACTAAGAGACTTTTAGATTTTAAGTAATGGATTCTTTGTATGATGAAACATGTCACTCTTTTTACATCAAAAACTGGGCCTTATAAAAAAAGAAGCTGAAACAATAAAATAACACATAAACATTATTCCAGACCATTCAGTGTGAGCTAAAGTATAGAGTATGGTGGAAGGAAGAAAATACTCAACAATCACGAAGGAGTCACTTCCCAAGCAGTGTCACTTGTTAAGCCGGTTTACCTGTCTTGCTATTATGACATTTCATTCTGAAGGATGCTTGTGCTGTGGCTAACTGTTCAAGTCTGGTGCTGACTGCTGTTCTTAGCCATCACAAAACATTAAATTCATGTAATTGGAGCTTCCTGCTGTTCCCCAGAAATGGTGGGAATGCTCAGATTTGTATATTCCCTAAAGTATATTAAAATAAAAAGAAACTATTGCTACTATTTAAAAAAAAATGACAAAAGGTTAAATAAGCTACTTTTGTTCTATACTTGATATTTTCATTTTTCATATTTAAGAGCATAAAGACTGATTCCTAACTACATTAAAAGCCCATGAGAATAATTCTTCACAACAGGAGAAATTTGTTTGAAAAAAGAAAATGGCCAGAGACCAGAGGTTCTTATTATAGTCTGTTCTAGCAGATGACCCACAGGATCCTGGGAGACCCCACTACACTATTTGTGAAACCTTTATTAGGGAGCACCCCACAATGTATGCATCACAACAACTAATATTGAAATACAAGGATACCAGTTTAACTCAATTATCATAGGTTCAATTAAACTGATGTTGCATGTCAAGCATATTTGTTGTAGTTTGTGTACAACAAATAATTTCTTTGAAAACCCAACATACAAGCTGCACAGTATATTTCCCCTTTGTAATATGCCCATTAATCTTTGCACTATGTGTGTGTGTGTGTGTGTGTGTGTGTGTGTGTGTGTGTATGCATGCATGCATGCATGTATGTATGTATGCATAAAACTAACATGTATGAAACAGGCCAACATTATGTTTCGTTTATATTTTTGTATACTTTGTAAATAGTTTCAGAAGGTTGTAAATAGTTTCAGAAGGTTGGCCAAACACTCTAAAGAAGCAGCTGAACTATTATTTTAAAGCAAATTATGAACAATGATGACAACAGAGTAAATGAACATTGTGGAGGAAGACTATGAGAACAGTGAAAAGCCTCAGAATGCTTATACATTATGATATGCACATTGCTTCATCTGGGTTTCTCTCACATACTAAGTCTCTGCTAGGCGGTACACTTCATTTGCCATCAATTTCATCAGAATTCTTAACATTATACAAACAAGACAGTGGACTACTGTTACCTTTTGGTTAACTGCTTAACAAAATGATGCAAAATGTGAAAAGATTATCCAATTGTTCAGCTTAATTTTTCCCTCTTTTTAAAATACAAATACACTAAGATGAAATTTTTCTGAAGTATTAACTAAACACGAATGCTGTAAAATTATAAAAAATAGTATGAAGAAAATTAGAGTAAAGTCAAATGGGCCTTGATCAACTGAGAATATGTGATACATATTAGTGATAATCATGCATATCATGCAAGAGAAATTCAAACATCAACATAACTGACCAGACTATATATCAATAATCAAAAAGTACCAGAACTTTCTGAAAAAGTGAACAAAATATTTAAATGTTCTAGAGGCCAATGCTTCAGTTTATATAGAAAATGTTATAATGTACTTAGCTTTATAACTTTAATATTCACGTTAATACTGCATATAATAATTCTATATATAATTGACATAATATGTATTATAATAATTTATAAGAAACACTTACTGGGTAAATTTTTTGGAGGGATGGAAGGATGGGTTCAGGTAGGGCTATAAAAAGAAAAAGTTCAAAGCTTCTGTGATTCACATGATTCATATTACAATGCAAAGTTTTGTCAGCTACACCTCAGGTACGAGACCACAAGGGTTGAGACTAAAATTTAAATTTTCATGTAGTTCATGAAATACAGTTCCTAAATTTTTTTAATTCATTTAAATTGACAATCTAAGGTTTTGTGAAAGAACTATGTATCTTCCTATGTAAATCAATGTTTCCTACAAGGTTTTAGAGTAGGAAGTCTACCAATAATGGTACACAAGTCATTCAATTAAACATCAAACACAAACAAAATAGGCAAAACAGAATTCTCAGACAGATCTGGAATGGACATTAAGATGAACTCCCACAACATCTAAATTGAGAGTGAGTTCAGCGTTCCGATACCATCAGTCCAATGTTCCTCTATCACAGAGAACACTATCATCATTACTTACTGTCCCTTCATTATTTAATTCCTATTAACTAGCAATACGAAAATTATAAGAAAATTGAGCTATTTAAAAATCAAAACCAAAGTCACTTTCAACTTCATAACATTGCTTTAAGAACACCTCAATAAAGATTAGAAATCTAAATCAGGAGATTTGCACAGCCATCCTAGAAATATAAATAAAATACATCACAGAGGAATCATTATCCTGTTACTCTCATTGGAAATTAAATTTCTTTTCTTTCTTTTAGGTAAGGCCTCACATAAACCAGGCTGGTCTCAAACTCACTCTTTAGCTGAGGAGGACCTTGAATTTTGGGTGTTCAGGCCTTTAAATCCCAAGTGTTAGAATCAAAAAGTACACCAACACGCCCCTGTTCTGGCGTACTAGGAATAAAGCCTACTAGGAAAACACTCTACCAACAGAGCAACATCCTCAGGAAATTCACAATGCAATGAATTTTTAAGCATACCTAATCTCAATAAATGCATAAACAGTCTCACATCATTACGAATGTAATGTAAAAGACAAGATACCTGTTATTCACAGCATAACTCTAAATTATGTGGAGTATGATAAAATACCAGTGCTATAAATTCCAAGATGTCTTTCATATTAATGACCACAGCAGTATACGATAAAGTTTGTACTTAAGAATAGGGTTTATATATAATTTAAGCTCAGTAACAAAGAATACCTAATACTTTCCTATCTAGAAAAAAAAATTTAAATGACCTCTGTACTACATTTACAAATATGTAATTAAGCATTACAACTAACTTATATGGCCTCCAACTCTTATTTCTAAAATGTAGTATAGAGTAGGATGATATATTTAAATTCTCCTTTTGTATGCTTCATTCCTAACTTGAAAATTGCAGTGAAATAAAATTTTGCAATATGAACATGTGCAGAGTATGAATGGGACTATAAAGAGAAATATTTAATTTACTACTTACCAAAATCACCCTTATGCATAATGATATATACACAGTCACATATACTTTCCCCAGAGGCACTCAGACATTTATAATTTTACAAGACCCTCCATGTAAATTCAACCCCAGACACTTTAATTATAAATATCTCTATTTTTTTTTTACAACACTTTTAATGCTTTCTAATAAGTTTCATATAATTCAGAAGTAAAATAGTTACTCTCTTACCAGGAATTAGTTTATTTAAAATTCCTTCCATTAAATTCTTCATAAGTTAAAATTATTAGAAAACAAGAGATGAAGACAACAAATTCACAGAGAATTTTATCACGTTCTATAATCATTATTTGGAATGACAGGGGAGAAAAATACCAACCACTGGTATTTAGAGTCATTCAACGAATAAAAGAACTTTAAAAGTTAAGGAATTGGGAAGGTTTGGAAGCAAATACATTATGGTGGTTGGAGTGAGAATGGTCTCCAAAGACTTGTATGTTGGACTAGGTCCCCACTTGCTGGAACTGTGTGGGAAGGGTTTGCAAACTCGCTCTTGTTGGAGGAGGTGTGTACAGGGGTGGGCTTTGTGTGCTCTTGCTGCCATGCCTTTGCTCCACTATCATGGACTCTAACCCTCTGAAGCCATAAGCCCAGTTAGCTGCTTTCTTTTCTAAGTTACCTTGGCTACGGTCTTTTGTCATAGCAACAGAAAACTAACTAAGACACAAGTTGGTACCAGGGAGTGGGCTACTGATGTGACAGACCTGACCATACTTTTTTGAGGAATATGGATTTGGGACTTAGATCCAGGAAAGGGGTTTCATGCTCTAAGTAGATTTTAACGGACCATCCTAACAGGATCTCAGGACAGTAGTACTGAGAGCTATGCTGACTGTGAAGGCCCAGGAGGTTTCAGGGCTGAACAGTATTAGCAACTAGGCTAGAGACCATTGTGATGTTTTGGCAGAGAATGTAGCTGCTGTTTCTTATCATATGGATTTCTCTTGAGGCTAAATAGAAAAGTAACAGACTAATTCCTTTGGCAGAGATTTCAAAACAGCCTAATATTGATTCTGTGATATGGTTATCAATTATCACTCTTACGCAGTTTTATAATGAAAAAGAACATTTGGAGCAAAAAGAAATACAAAATATACAGCTGGAGTGGAAAATGAGCACCAGAAAAGTTAATGTTGGAGCTAAGGCTATGCTGAAAGAGATGAAAAGATCAAAGAGAAGCTTGATATGGAATAGAATAAAGGGAAGCATGCCCTCAGGGAAGACCCCAACCAGCTAAGCGTACAACTAACAAAAAGGAAAGACCTAAGAAATTTTCTGCTCCTAAAAATTAACAACAAAGGAAAACTGCAACTGTGATTCAAGGGAGCCTGGCTCCATCTCAAGCAGGCAGTCAGACTTGGCAGTGTTGTCCACATGGTTCTGGCTTTAGAATCAGGATGCATGAGTAAAGAGCAGCTAAGCTGAGCCGCTCAGCCCAAGCATGTCCCAGGGAGTCTGCATGAAAACCTGGAGAGGCCACTCACAAAGCTATCAAAGGGAAGACAGGATTGCATTGGAGACCCCAAGATGTTGGAAACACCAGAATCAAGAGACATCGGCAAGAAGAGGTGCACATAAGGAATATAACGAGCCCGAGAGAGAAATGTATGTGTCAGGCAGCAAAGAGAGAAGGACAGAAGCATCGAATCCTTTTGACAGTAGACACAGCAACAGCGTTTGGAGTTTGCCCTGTTGGGTTCCAATCTTGCTTTGGTCCAGGATTTCCTCACTAGGCCCCCATTCCTCCCTTTTGGAATGTAATGTATATTCTGTGTCACTGTAGGTTGGAAGTTATGTAATTTGCTTTCTGAAAATGCAGAACAATTTAAAACTGGATGTTGAGAAGTTCTGCCCCAGGAACATGCTAGCTGATCATGAATATTCTTATTTCTACCCAGCTGATAATTTGACCTCAGTAACTCTTACTCTTAGACTGTCTTTGGAATCTATTCTCAGTATTTTTCCTCTTACACTTTGATCAATCATGTACTGAAACAACTGTTACTGACTACTAACATATATCATAAGAAATGCTATGGCCTTTTAATCTTTCAATATTCAGAACTACTGTTTCCTTCATGGCAAAAAATATGTATTAGAACACTTAGAAAGTTAAATAATAATCATTTATCCAACAACTTATGTTACAGATAAGAATACGAAGGCCAAAGAGATGAAATGATATCATCAATATCATAAAAACTGGTCCTCTGTGCCAAAGGCTGAACCACTTCAGTCTCTTGCAGACCATTTTCCCTCCCAACAAAGTCATAACAACAAGGAAAACAACTACCTATCTCAACAGTAATTTTTTTAGGGGGGGCAGTAGTGGATTAGCTTAAGTTGGCCAATAGAGTTACATATCATATAAGTGGTTTTTACCTACAAAGAGCTGATAATAGTGTCAGTAAACACAAACCACTTCAGTAAGAAACCAAATCTTAAAATAATTTCACTATTTTGATAAAATATTAATGCTTGATGAATTTTCAATTTGTTTTACAAATCACCCTCAAGTTCCTCCACTTAAATTACATTTTCTAATAAAGCAGTCAACCAATTAAAATCAGAGATACATTTACATATATCAGAGAAACAGACATGAAATATATCAGAGATGCACGTTAGACAGTAAATATAATTTTTGAATTACTACCAAAATTAAAATGATTCAACTCTGGAGGATATTATAATTTCTGTATTATTCTTTATAGAATACATAAGAAATCCTTTGAATTCTTAATAAAAATGAACTGTGATACAAAAGATGACAGCAGTCCCTAAAAGCTTATCTATGAGCTGATACAACTGGAAAACTGGGAAAAATTATTAGTGACAATGATATATAGAATAGATTAAAACGACACAAATCACATTCCACACCATTTTAAAAGGGCAAACCAATCATCAAATCAACATATAACCAGGACAGACCAGCAAGAAACACAATTTATGATTAGCTTAAGACACTCGCTTTAACAAGGGAGAGGACAGCATCAAGTCCTTCTGACGACTCGTCTAGAAATGTCTGGTGTACTTAAACAATTTTAAGTCTTTCTATAACTTGAAAAAAAATTCTTTAGAATTCTATGTTCAAATGAAGAGGACTATATATAAAACACCTAATATTATTATATAATAAATATTAGATAAAAGTTCTAATTTTCTATTAAAAATTGGCAAAATTTTGACTCATCCCTTCTCAGTATTTCCACACATATGAATATATAAACAAATGTAGTTATTCTTTAAACAAAATTATTGATATTATTTTGTATAAGACAATATTCAAGAGTATATATGTATCTTTAAAAAATATAAAAAACCTGCGGGTGACTATATAGTTTTCATATTATGATATACCATACTTAATTTAACCATTCCATTCTTGAAAGCTCAGATTTCTTCTTTTATTATTTCAATAAACACTATGAAAATATTTTTATATATAAATCTGTTGATCACTGTCTTAGGATAAATCTCTGGAAAAAAAACTAGAGTCAAAATATATGAACTCTGTTATGTCTTTCAGAATCTACATGCAGAAAGCACCAAACGACACACTAAAGCTTTTTCTAAATCACTATTCTGGCCTCGTTGGTTAAGACCACATGATAGTATGCCGGGCAGTGGTACTGCACACCTTTAATCCCAGCACTCGGTAGGCAGAGCCAGGCGGATCTCTGTGAGTTCGAGGCCAGCCTGGTCTACAGAGAGAGATGCAGGATAGGCATCAAAGCTACACAGAAAATCCCTGTCTCAAACAAACCAAAAAAAAAAAAAAAAAAAAGACCACATGATAGGGACAGTGATCTACCAGTATCTCCCCTCAAACAGGCAACTTACAGTATGGGGGTAAAAGGTAGCATTCTGTTAGTAACCCATCAGCCATAACAGTCATTAATAATGCTTATGGTGCTATTCATTTGGTTTTATTTTTCAGACAGGATCTGGCTATAAAGCCCAGGCTCACAACCTTCTTATCTAAACCACCAAAGTGCTAGAATTACAGGAATGTATCACCACACATAGTTAATGAAGTTATTTATAATTAAGTGTGCTACTCAGCAATTAAATATCTCAGGCTCTTAGTTGGGATAACTATAAATCTTCAGTTTTCTCTTCTCTTAGCATCTAGCTGAGTAAAATATGTAGAATAAGTTATTTATTGGACTGTATATACAAAACATTAAATACAAAAGTAAAGGTTTCATCCAGAGCTCATCAGTCTGCACTATATTTCTGGGGAAACTTCACTACTGTAAGTTCTCAGAGCCACATTATGAAAGGGCAAATATTACAAGTGGTCACATTATAATTTGCCACTAAGCATAGAACAAATGTATGGCTTTATCAAAATGACCTCAAAAACAATGATAATTGTTTGAATTAAACTGAATTAAAATCTAGAGACCAATTTGGAATTTGAGAGCTAATTTGGAGGTTCATCGGGGGACCAGAGTTTTTTGTATATCCTTGAGCCAAGATTGGTCCTCCTCTTTCTGAGAAAGTCATCTTCTCAGACTGTGCAGTTCTAAATGGGTACACACGAAGGAGCATGGGAAGAGAGGGTAGCCAGCCACATTATCCAAAGGAACCAGCAACAACAGGGCGACAGATGTCTCAGCCAGGCTACCCTCACTCACGTCTGTCAGCCAAGCTGACAGAATAACCCAGCAAACATAAAACCTAATTGAGGAGAAGGGGCCAAAGGGGATTGATTATAAACTTCTTGCCCAATAAGAATATCATTTAATTTCTGTCTTGTAAGCCACTCAAGCCCCACCCCTAAGGACTTCCAACCACCAGGCCCTAAGCTCCGCCCTACAGAGTAAAAGCCCAAGATCAGGCCACAAAATCCCACCAATCCCAGACCACCCTGGAAAACTCCACCCCCAAAAAGCCCTATATAAAATCTACCCCTTGCTCCCCAAGCAGAGGCAGCCACTCTCCTGTGTTTTTCCCAATAAATCTCTTGTGTTGTGACTTTGTGGTGTTTCTTAGCTCCCAACTGCCAAGATACTTTTCCCTTCAGTGCTGGTGACACATTGGAAATACCTTTCCCCCTCATGTCTCAAATAAAAAAAATAGTCTTTCTGAGCACTCATCTGTTGCAAGACAATGGATCAGCAATACAGTGGTGAAAGTTCTTTAAATATAAAAGTGAATAACAAAACTATCAAAAGATAAAAGCACATTAAAACTTCTTCACAATGTTTTTCAGAGAATAAAACTTCTACAATATTAGTTCAAGGCAACAGAACAGGATTAAAAAGTTGTATAGTCCTTAGAAAGAGAACTTTTTAAAACAACACAAACTGGAGATGAGCAAAAGATACTGCAGTGAGGTTTATCTGAATTTCTGTTTTAAAAAGTGGAAAACTCCCATAATACTTACTTTGTAAGTAGTGCAAAACCATCAGTACAAGACTGTAGCTGCTTAAAGTACCGCGACTGGCATCGTTTATATCATGGTGACTTGCCCACTTCTTAATCACCAGCACTAACGGACGAACTCGATTTTCCACTGCAAGTAAAATGAACACTTAAAAAGGACATCACAGTTTCTCTGAGAATGTATAATTTCCTAGTTCTATGCCAGTAAGAGGCATTGCTTCTCTCCATACTAAAGGTAGAGCTCACTCTCAATGTGTTACTTCTAAGCTTACCTTAGTTACTTGTAAACCATCATTCACTTAAAAACACTGAATCATCTATAACTACAGTAGCATATGATTTTACTATAGTAACATTATCAAAAGAAGTAAGATACTGTATAACTAAACACAAGTAATGGGGTATTGCTATTTACTGTAAACACAGTTCAAAGGCCATAGAGAATACAGGAAAAACAGAAGCTGATGGTTATTTAGAAACAAACAAAAACTTACGGTAGGCATAAGTTCTGAGAAGGAATGTGTTTCTAATTCCAACGGTATTGTTTACATTTAAGTCAAATTCCACACAACTATTTAAAAGAACAAAGGAAAACACACTTTAGCACAAGTACAAAAATCCATTCTTTCTATTAACTAAAGTGATTCCAATCCATCCACTGATGCAACATGGACTGAAAGCCATAGACTGTTTTTAAAATGAGTCACTAAAGAAGGAAGTATATACAATATATCACTTAAAGTTATTTGGTATATTTTAAAAATATAAACTAAGATTACTATTTGAAAGATCCATAATATACTGATGTTTCTAATTACTCCAAATGAAGTTTTAAATGTTGTAATGTTTTCTAAATAAATAAATTCACATGACCAAAGTGTAGAAGATATAGACCATCCCACTAAGATATATCTTCTCAAAGCAGTTTTACCTACTTTCAAACAATACAAACAAAATGCAAGCTAAAAAAACAAGAGCTGTATCTATATATCATATTCCCTCTAAAATGGCTGGAAAATTCTATGTCAAATGCAGGTGCTGATGATCTGGGAAATGATGAAATATTCAAAACATCACCAATGAGATGCTTTGAAGCAAAGATACCCAACTCACAACTTAGAAAACAGGGCAATTATTGTTAGAATCTACAAACAAGGAAGAACTGCTTTATAGAAATTAGTTCCACTCATATTCTACTGGGTCTAATTTCTTTGAGTACTACAGTTTTCTATGAAAAGATTACCAAAAGAGTAACAAGATGATTCAGTGAATAAAGGTGCTTACTGCCATAGCCTAAGTTCAATCCCCTAAAACTCAAAGATGGAAGAAGAAAACTAAGAAGTGACCTCTGCATATATACCACAGTGTGCTATACATGCATGTGTGGACATACATATACTAAATAAATGCCCCCCCCAAAAAAAATTATTGTAGTGGTATTTGCTCCACCCATGACCTTGGGCTATATGGCCGAAGGAGGCAGTGCTACTTGCTGTTATATATGACCTCTTAAAGGAAAGGGAGAGAGAGGGTCACGAGTCCCTTCTCCCCGCTGCCTGCTTCCCAGTCTGACTGAACCCCCAGGTGGATTCACTCCCAGTCAGAACAGAGGACGACTTCAACTATTTTCTCGGTTCTGTATTCAAGAGGGTATTTCTTCAATTTATATCTTAATAAATCCCTATTGTCCATTAAATAGACTCACGGGGATTGATATTAACAAGTGGTAGATTAAAACAAAGAGAGATGGGGGCTGGAGAGATGGCTCAGAGGTTAAGAGCACCGACTGCTCTTCTAGAAGTCCTGAGTTCAATTCCCAGCAACCACATGGTGGCTCACAACCACTTGTAATAAGATCTGGCGCCCTCTTCTGGCCTGCAGGCACACATGCAGACAGAACACTGTATACATAATAAATAGATAAATCTTAAAAAAAAAAAAAAAAAAACAAAGAGAGATTGCTCAGTAGTTAAGACCACTGACTGATGTTCCAGAAAAACCAGGTTCAATTCCCAGGCTGTCTGGCATCTGATCAAGCCAGGATTTTAAGAAAGGACCCACATGACTCCTCTCCCTTTCCTTTTAAGAGGTCACGTACAACATCAAGAAGTACCGCCTCCTTCAGGCCCTATAGCCCAAGGTCTTGGGCAGAGTAAATACAACTACACATTATCAAAAATAAAATGCCAGGCTTATGATGATAATACATGCCTCTAACCCAGCACTTGGGAAGCCAAGGCAGAATTGGGAATCTGAGGTGAGTCTGAGCCATGTAAGAGATCTTATCTCAAAGATAAAAATTTCAAAAAAGTCCATCAATCAATTAATCAATTCCTTTCTATATGTTATTACAAAATCTGAACTTTTTCTTATGTTTTTCCTTCTTGAGGAGCCAAAAAGAATTTTACAAGCATCCCTTCATTTCTATTCAGAGTCAATGGATAGTGGTACAAGTGCTAACAAGATATGAGCAGCCAGCTTTGGGAAACTTAGGGTGACATCAATTACAATCTTTATGTTTGTGTAGGAAACACCAAAGCCAATTTATATACCCTCTGCATAACTCAACACAACCATGAAGGCAGAGACCTGTAGAATTTAATCTTTTGAAAAGGCACTGAAGAAAAACGTCAGCAGTAGATTACTCACGTCCTTGCATACTTAACTCCCTATGCAAACATTCTCCAGCACTAGCAGAAAAATAATTTTCCACCAGGCAGTGGTGGCACACGCCTTTAATCCTAGCACTCAGGAGGCAGAGGCAGGTGAATCTCTTTGAGTTTGAGGCCAGCCTGGTCTACAAAGCAAGTTTCAGGATAGGCTCCAAAGCTACACAGAGAAACCTAGTCTTGAAAAAACGAACAACAAAAACAACAACAAAAATTAAAAATATGAATTGAATACCCATTTATCATGTTTCCTCCACAGGACATATCACAGGTTTCTCACACTTATGAACTACTACAAAGTTCAGTTTAAGACCATTCTAAACAGTGAAAAAGTGCTAGCTAGACTATGACAAAGGGCATTTGTCTGCACATGAGAAAGCTAAAACAAGAAGACAGAATGTCACCTTCTTCAACCTCACTTGGGAACACAGATATTAAACTAGCCCCAAATTTTTGCCACACCTTGAACAATACAGAAAGACAAAATTTTAGAAAGAAAAAAAATTCTTAAATGTAAAATTTATAAATAAGAAAGCTCAGTTCTGTATAAGCACATGCATATAACTTCAGTGTTACCACTATAAACAGCTAGAAAAATAAACCTGCTTTATCACAATCCTGTTTAGAAAACATTTATAAATCTTTTTAACAAATCAAATCTCAGTCTACACTTAACTTTTCTTATTTCTACTCTCTGCTCATTTGAGACAGACACTCACTAGTAGCCCACACTGTACTTGAACTCATTATCCTGGGGCCTCTGACTCCTAGTGCCACGATTATAACACCTGATTGTACCATTTGCATTCTTGTATTCAAATATTATATAAAAGCTTCTAACACAATATCCTTAAGAAATCAGAACCCATGCCGGGCAGTAGTGGCGCACGCCTTTAATCCCTGCATTTGGGAGGCAGAACCAGGAGGATCTTTGTGAGTTCGAGGTCAGCCTGGTCTACAGAGAGAAATCTAAGACAGGTACCAAAACTACACAGAGAAACCCTGTCTCGAAAAGCCACACCAAAAAAAAAAAAAAAAAAAAAAAGAAAAGAAAAGAAAGAAAGAAAAGACATCAGAACCCAGGCTAGGAGATTATAAAGAAAAATTAAAATTTTGAAATTGAATAATTGTTACCGCTTTTGTCTATATTATTCCCTATACTCTTTATATCTTTCTCTAAGTGAAATACAATTTGTTTAATAATACTTAAAGTTAGAACAAACTCTTTGAATATAAATACACACTGAATTTTATCAAGGAAGATATGTTTTGGGGAAAGAGTTACTTGTCCTAAAGACATAAGATCTCTTAAACAAGGTCCTCACTATTTTAAACAAGGCCTGGATCTCATTGTAAAGACAAGAGATTCTCAACCTATAAGTCGAGACCCCTTTGTGGTCACCTAAGACCATCTGCATATCAGATAATTACAATATGATTCATAACAGTAGCAAAATTATAGTTACGAAGTAGCAACAAAAATAATGTTATGGTTGGGGGTCACCACCACATAAGGAACTGTATTAAAGGGTTGCAGCATTAGGAAGACTAAGAACCACTGATATAGACTAAGCTGGGCTCGAACTCAGAGAAATCAACATGCAAGTATGTGCCATCATGGTGGGCTACAAGAAAATCATTTTTAAAACCCAAATACCTTTTAAACTGGATAGTCTCAAATTCTCAAAATTGAAGTAGAGTAGATCAATTCAGTTAAGCATGAAGACTGCTCAGATTATTAAAAAAATAATAATAATTTAAAAGACGGTGGGTATAGTGGCACCCAAGTACAATCCCAGCACTCAAGAAGTAGAAGCAAAAGATTCCAAAATTCAAAGCTATCCACAGCTATATGACAAATTCACAGCCAGCCTGATTCATGAGACTGTCTCAAAAAAATAAAAATAAAAATAGGAAAAAGAAAATTATTTCTAAAACCTTGAAGATAAGCTGCTGAGCTATAACCTGATTTCTTGGCTATCCACATTAGATGACTATCCAAGGTTAATCTAAAGCACCTGAAAAAAGAGAGATTGGTAATTATTTACCTGACTTTATCCCTGAACTTCACAATTGGCACTTTTGCACGAATCAGCTGAGGTCTCTCAATGTAGCCAGCTGAAGGAGAAAAGATCATGTGAGTATCTACCAATGTTTCCCCACTCACAATATTCTAATGCAGTTTAAAAGTAGTATATTATTAAAACCAACTTAAGAACATGCTGTCCTTGAAAAATGACACAAAGAGAGTTCCAGGAAACCAGGGCTACACATTGAGACAGAGACAGAGAGAGAGAGAGAGAGAGAGAGAGAGAGAGAGAGAGAGAGAGAGAGAGAGAGAGAGAGAGGAGGGAAAAGTTGGGGGGAGAGGAGACTGAGAGAGAGACACAGACAGACAGACAGAGACACACAGATACACACAGACAGACAGACAGACAGACAGACAGACAGACACACACACACACACACACACACACAGGGCCGGAGGTGGGGTGGGGATGGGAGTGAAAGGAAGGAAAGACAGACAGACATCAAGTCCTTCTAAGGGTCAAGTCTATACTATTTAAAAGGCTTTAAATTTTTTTGTTTTTGAAATAAAATTTTAGTATGTAGTATATAGTAGTATCTATAAAGACATTCATTGGAACATCTGAGTGAAAAAAAATAGCTAAAAGTAAGGAAATGCTAAATTCTGGTATGACTCACAGTAAAAACAGTAGCCATTGAAATCTGTTGTAATATGCAAATGTTTGCAACTTGGTAAGGCAAGAATACATTCAATTATGCATGATCTCAAAAAGGATAAAATACATAAACACATTTTTAACTTCATCAAAGGTATAAAAATGCATTGTAGGAAACAATACATGTAAATTGAAGAAAATTAGGAACTTATAGAATTAAAGATGAAAAGATAGCTCAGTGGTTAAGAGCACATACTGCTCTTCCTGAGGACTTGAGTTCAGACCCCAGCACCCACATAGGGCAGCTCCTAACAGCCTGCAACTCCAGCTCCAGAGGATCCAACACTCTCTTCTGGTCTCCACAGCACCTGAACTGTTCACATACCCACACATAGACACATAATTAAAAACAAAAGAGAAGTAGTTTTTAAAAAAATCTACAAACATTTATCACTGGAGCAATATTCTAAAGTGTTAACTATAGAAAAGAAAAATACCGGATTTTCTTTTTTAAAAGCTAAAAATTTTGTTGTTAGCATTTTTGGTAGGGAGGGTCAAGTTTGATGTTCTCCTCCATGTGTATATGCAAGTACACATGCATTTGTGAGTTCATGTGTGTGGAGTCTAGAGGTCAAAATCTAGAATCTTTTTCTTTCTCCAACTTATTTTTTGAGATAAAATCTCAATGAATCTGATGCTCAATAACTTGGACAGACTGGATGGTCAGAGCCAGGATCCCTGTCTCTGCCCCACGCCTGACCCTTAGTGCTGGGGTTATACACATAAGCTAACCACACCTAGAACTTTCACATGGGTGCTAGGGATCTGACCTCAGGTCCTCATGTTTATACAGCAGAGACTTTACCTATGAACTCAGCCCTCTCCTCTAGACCCAAGCATGCTTGTTTAAAGGTTTCCTCTAAACTCTTCATCCCGCATCAGGCAAACCACCTGACTATGTAACAGAGAAAGGAGAACACAACAAAATAAAGGGACAGACTATTCCCAAGGGGGATGCTACCCATCTCACACTCTTGGTTACGGTTTAACTTTCTAAAACTAAAATATCTCTTATCTCAAGATTTGTAAGACTATTGTGTTAATTTTCTGTACCTCAAGATTTGCAAGCATACTGGGTATATTAAAAATCTGTAAAATCTGTAACAAAAAGGTTAACTTGAAACTTGGTAGTTAAAGATCTATAGACAGGTAATCTTAAAGCAACCCTGTGGCTTGCCCTCATCTTAGCTGCTGTTCCCACATAGGGATGGAGGCAACCACATGGCTGACAGCCATCTTTGCTAGGGTAGGAAAGGATAGATTTTGCTATGTGACTTCACTCCCATCTTGATCAAAAGTGACCACATGGTATAAGGCAACCAAGGAAAAAACAACTCCTAGCTACGAAGCCCAAACTAGATGATTCCTCCGTTATTTTCGATGGCGCTAACCCCTTCCAGTCTCAACCCAGTCACTTCTCTCCCTCTCCAACCTCTTCAGTCTCCCTTTCTCCCTCCTTAGTGGCAGGTCATCTGAGTCAATTCTCCCTGGCACTACCTAGTTTTAGTCCACCAGCAGCCTCTAGTCCTCCTGCTACTCCCTCCCTCCTGCTCCACTCTGGGACCCCCTTCACCTCCTCCTACCTGGACTAAACTGGCCACGTTTCTCCCTTTGCAGGAGCTGCCTAGGTGGATCACTTGTTCAGGGTACCTGTTCCTTCTCATTAGATTAACTCTCTCAAACAGAAGAGATTAGGGTCCTACACTGCTAACTGTTCCACCTTTATTAAAAATTCCAGTATTTTACCCAATCTACAGCCTCACTTTCCATGTTTATATGGTTCTCACCAACAATCTTCCTGAAGAGCATAGGCTAGAGCTCAGGCTAGAGCACATGCAGATGGAGTCCAGACAACTTGCCCTCTAGCCTGTCTCTGTAAGCCTGCCCTTAAAGTTCTACTTCTTCTCCCAGTTTCCCTGACATGAGGGCCAAACTGTAGCATCTAGAGAGGGAGCCCCTGACTCCCCAGGCAGAAGTCTTAGCGATGGCTTTCAAAGTGTACCATGGGAGAGATGAAAAAAGTCTGGAAACAAAATCCTTGATGCTAGCTAAGGCCTTTGGCTAGTCATAGCAACTATCCAGGCTCGCTATGCCTCAGATGTGGTCAGGAGGGTCACTAAGCCTGGATTTGCCCAAGCCCTCATAAACCACCTCAACCATGTCCAAAGTGCCATCAAGAGGAACACTGGCTCGTTAACTGCTCCCATGTCCTTCTCAGCAAGATGATATCAAGCCCAGATTGCCATCCGTCAACCTCCTAGGTCTGGCCATGGATGACTGAGGGGGCCTGGTCTCCCTTGGCCCAACCACAGCCATTTCTGAGAGGGAGTCTCCAGTAGTCACCACAATATCAGGGCGATCCATCTCCTTCCTTCTGGACACTAGGGCTACCTACTCAGTCCTGATGAATTTTGAGGACCTACCTCTCCTTCTAATTCCCCTATTGTTGGGGTAGGGGGCAGCCTTAACAATCTCATAAAACCCTACCACTTAGTTATATTTTTAGCAGAATTCCCCTTGCTCACTCCTTCCTAGTGGTACCAACCTGTCCCATCCCCTTGCTGGGAAGGGACCTCTTGGCCAAAGTGGAAGTCTCTATTTCCTTCACTCCCCAATCCACTTGGCTCCAGGTTCACTGGCTGCTACCCTCCTCTTCCTCCTCCAAACCACACAAGCCGACACCATTTGTTCCCTTTCCCAGCCTCCCAGGTGGATCCCTGAGTATGGGACACCCCAAATCCCTCTGTAGCCAAGCATCATTCCCCTCCTGTCATCCAACTGCAAAACCCTACCAATGATATCACACAGGCTCAATGCCCACTCTCTCCAAATCTCAGGGGACTTAAGGCTCTTATCCCTGGGCCTCTTAAAGAACCTCCTGCACCCCACTTCTTCTCCATTTACTACTCGCATACTCGTGGTTTAAAAACCCAATGGAACCTACTGCTTGGCTCAGGATCCCTGACTTATCTACTCAGCCGTGGTTCCCCTTCACCCCATAGTACCCAACCCCTATACTTTCCTCCTCGGGGACCTCTCATTTCTCCATCCTAGACCTCAAGGATGCTTTCCTTTCTATTCCTCTGGACCCCAAGTCACAAAATATCTTTGCCTTTACTTGGACTGACATGGACAATCACCTTTTTACTCACTTGGACCATCCTACCCCACAGGTTTCATATCCCACATCTACTGGGCAGGCTCTACCTTCTGACTTACTTTCTTTCTCTCTTCCTAAATCCAAGTTTATACAATACATAGATGATCTTCTCCTTTGTAGTCCATCCCTGCAAATTAGCCAGGCAGATACCTCTACCTTATTAACCTTTCTGACCAGCCAGGGATATAGGATCCCATCCTCTAAGGTCCAGCTGTCCACTCCTCAGGTTACTTATCTGGGATTAGCTATTACTCCAACTTACAAAGTCATTACCCTAGATAGGAAACAGCTAATTCAAATGCTTTTGGTCCCTACCACAAAGGACAAAATTCTATCCTTCCTGGGGATGGCTGACTTTTTACACTCTTCGATCCTTTTTTCTCTCTTCTTTCCTGCCCTTTACATGAGGCAGCCCTTGGCCCCTCACACAAGCCCCTTCTTGTGCCCATTACCAAACCCTTTCATAAGCTTCAACAGGCCCTCCTCCAGGCCCAAGCCCTACATCTTCTGGACTTAACTCACCCCTTCTCTCTCTCTGTTACAGAAAAGGAGGGATATGCCCTCGGCGTCCTGGGTCACCAACTGGGGACTTCCTTTGTGCCCAATGCATACTTATTTTGACAAGTATTAGACCATGCTATCCAAGGATGGGCACCTTGTCTACACACTCTGGCCACAGCGGAACTTCTTACACATGAATCAAAGAAGTTAGCACTCAGGTCACCAATTACTATCTTCTTGCCTCACCACTGTCCCACCTTCAAACTTCAAACACTAGCCCTTTCCCAAGTTCTCTCTAGCATAAGTAGAGGACATTACACTTACCTTTCAGCCATGCCCACCTCCATTGCCATTTCAAAACCTCCCCCAACCAATCCCAGAATACTCCCTCCCCATTTCACTCTTCAACTGATACCCTAAAGAGTCATTACCCAGTCCCTTGAGACCCAGGCAGCCAAGCTTCACCCTATAGAGTAAAAAAGCCCAAGATCAGGCCATAAAAATCCCACCAACCCCAGGCCACCCTGGAAAGTTCTGCCCCAAGAAACCCTATCTAAAGCCTGCCTCCCACTCAGATCTCTGCTGTTTCTCTCCCAAGCAGAGGCAGCTACCCTCCTGTGTCTTTCCCAATACATCTCTGAGTGAGGTTTGTTGTGCAATGGACTTTGTGGTATTCCTTGGCTCCCACCTGCCAGGATCCCTTTCCCCTCAGGGCTGTACCACTTTCACCTAGTAGACCATGTCTATCACGTTTTTGGCTACTTAGATGTTTGCCTTACAGCTAGCTGTTCATTCCTAGCGGTCTATAACCTTTGGAGAGAAAGAAGGGAAGCTTATAGATCTTCAAATCTCAAGATGCAGTCCACAGAATATTTTTCAAGTAAGTTCAATAATGATTTGTTAAATCATGCTTTTTAACCAAAGTTAAAAATAGCCAAAACTTGAAAAGAGGGGCATGATATACACACCTGTCACGTCAGAACTCAGAAGGCTAAGGCAGGAGGATCTCAAGTTCAAGGCCAGCCTGGGCTATATATATTTATATACCACAAGATCCTATTTTAAAAAGAAAAAGTTTAAAAGAATTTAATTAGAAGAAAACAATCCACATTATATCTCATCAGAAAAATTCTTACCAGAAAAATTAAGTGACCAACATTTTAAATAATAGTTATGTCAGAAGGCATGCAAGACTTACAAAGTCTAGTACAGAAGTGTTTATGGACTAAGGTGAGTATATGGCGTGCTTCAGTCTTCTGATTTACCTGAAAAAAACACTGAAAAGTTAAAGTGTTTTTTCATTATTTTTTCTTAGCTTAGTGTTTGATTTTTTTTCAAGTAACACAACAGCAAAACACAAAACATATTTTTCTTTCAAGTTATTTTTCAAAATAACTACAGAAAGTCAACTCTCAGTAGTATCTTTCAGATCTACATTTCAGAATCAACATTTTTTAATTGAAAACAACCCTGTCATTTTTCTCTTTTATATAAACAGTGTTAAAAAAAAAAACCTCTTCCAACAAAATTTAACAAAACCTTAACTTTGCAGCATGTTTTATTTCCTTACCAAGACTATGAAGTGCTTATGGATTACATACAATGTCGAGTCCTTCTGTGTGTAAGCTGGGGCAATATGACTTCAGCATGTGGTGAAAACCACAGAGCTAGTAAGACATGCCTGAGTGTACCCTAGCTGCATGGCCTGCAATCTCCATTACAGTGACATTTAAGGGTTCTTTGGTCTGCTTCTTTTTCTCCCCTTTTCATTTCCCTTACATTATCTCAAAGCACAGAAAAACTGCAGATTCTTTCCTGGAATAAACCTGTTTCTCTTTTACAACAACCAGAAGAATAAAATTACACATTATAATTCAAAGATTTTGTTTTGGTTTGGTTTGGTTTTTGGGGGGAGGTGGAGTTGAAATAGGGTTTCTTTCTTTGTCTTGGACCTCTTTTTTTTTTTTTTTTTTTTTGGCCAGGCTGGCCTTGAACTCACAGAGATCCGCCTGCCTCTGCCTCCCAAGTGCAGGGATTAAAGGCGTGCACCACCACGCCCGTCTTGCTTGCATTTTTAAGGCTATAAACCATAGCATGAAATATTAAAATTATACTCAATTTAATCAAAAAGTATGGTAGTTTAAAAGAGACCTCAACAACTACAAGAGGTTACACTGAGTAAGTTTACTGAATATATATTATGATAATACTAAGATATATTGAAAAGATCAGTTAACAGGAAATCCAAATAAATATAATTCTAAATAACACAATTTGATTGTTAAATAAAAATAAAACCAGAAATAAAGTATCTTAGAAAAAACTGTTAAATATAATAAATCACAAGTCTTACTTTAAATTTCATTGAAGTCTTGTTTTCAAAAAAACAAACAAACTCAAAGTGGGGGTAGGTTTAAAAAGGGATCACTGAGAAATTAAATGGAAAGAAAGTATTATCAAGAAGATAATACTACCGGGGCTGGAGAGATGGCTCAGAGGTCACTGACTGCTCTTCCAGAGGTCCTGAGTGCAATTGCCAGCAACCACATGGTGGCTCACAACCATCTGTAATGAGATCTGGTGCCCTCTCCTGTCTACTTAATAAATAAATAAATCTTAAAAAAAAAAAAAAAGATAATACTGCCATATGCTTTGCTTTACTGAATCCTGTAAACACTCAACCCACCCAGTGGCATTTCATAGTAAGAGGCAACACTTCCAAAACCACACACTTCAAAGCTAGCTCACTTCAACCCCTCAGAACTAGAGCTGCTCCTAAGCACACCATGCTGGTGCCTTATGAGTGTGGGGCAGGGGAAGAGGTCCTTCTGGAGCTAGAGTAAACAGTAAATAATTATTAAAATAACTCAAGTTCTATTCCTTAACTGACGTAACATGAGAAGTGGATTTGGAATAATGTCTCATCACTTACTGGTTCCTCTTTAACAACTAAGCATAAATCGCCATCACTGCTCCGGGCACCAAATCCATTTAAAGATGATCCAACCAAAAAGAGTCTGCTTTCTAGAGAAGCAGAAGAAAACAGTAAGAAAGCCTGCAGTTTGTAAACAGGAACATATAGACAGGAAAGGCATGCGAATGAGGCATACGTACGTGGGAACAGCAGCTGGATCTCTCTCTGCAGCTGTGCCCTACAGAGTTCTTTCTTCTTCAAGTCACTCGCTTGCTGCTGACAAGTTTCAAACAACTCTAGTATCTGCTGACTCAACTTGAATACATCACAAAAGAAAACGAAAACAAAATATTTGTTCAGAAATTCATAACTACTGTATTAAGCAGTGTAAATGAATACTGACAGCATTTAAAAAATAAATCCATATTATCTTAACACTTTCTGATTTAAAGCTATTGTTATTCAAGAAAAAGAATGGCTTGAGAAACTATACGCAAATTTAAAAAAATAAAATATTTTAGTGACAGAAAAGTAGTCAGATAATTCATGAGTATAACTGCAGCTCAGCAAACTAAACTCTTTCGTATTGTCTGCTTTTATGTGGACCATGAATAATTTTTATACTTTTAAGAGTCACCATCACAAGTAATAAGAATATGCAACAGAAACCATCTGTACATGACATACTCTAAAATATGTACTTCAGGTCTCTTCTGCCACACACAGCAGCTTTAGAAAGTCCCGTCTTCTATATTCACACAAACCACCTTCCACTCCATTTTGTGTAACTTTCTCTGAACCCTGACTTCTTCAGATGAGGCTGCCATCTGCGGATCTCCCTTGTTTAGGTACCTATATGGTGGACATTTCCCTCCGCCCCAACTCTTGCTGCTACCACAGGATGATAAGGTTATCTGCAGAGAGCTACACTTATCACAATATACTCCACTTCTGAAATTCTTTCACTGTAATATTTCTCACTGGTGTACTCTCATAGCTATGTGCTCTAGTGCTGACATCTTAAATTCCAACACACCACTTCAGCTTCAGTTTCCTGTTCAACTCACTGTCTTATCACCCCCACCCCCACCCCCTAATGTATCTGCTCTAGACCTGGTCAGGAGTCCCTTGAGATCTCCCTTTTCTTCCATCTCACCAGCACCCAAATGGTCCTAATGCCCTTCTCTATGTAGCCACTAATCCAGAATGCATCTCCCAAACCAGTCTCCTTTATCACACTTTAGAAACTTTATCCACTACGGTCTAACGGCTGCGCTACAAAATCCTCACCAGAAGACAACGAAAACACCACTTTCTCTCTAAAATTAAACCTAAAAGACAAAACTGAAAAGCTTTTTGGAAAGTCAAGTCCTTCAAATGTTTGGCGTAAGGGTTAGCCTAGCTTAGTGTCCTTGATATCACTCAACCTTTACTCCCCTGCCTCTGCTTAGATACTGTTCCCATTTTTCACTATTTCATTCCGAAATGATTACTGCCTTCTTCAAGGCCCCTAAACTTACTTTCTCTTGCAGATAATCTCACATTAAAATTTTCTAAGAAAAGCCAAGCGTAGTGGTGCACATCTGCAAATCCCAGCAATCAAGAGGACGGAGGTAGGAGGATCAGGAGTTCAAGGCCATCCTTGGCTTCATAGGAGTTCCAGGACAGCCTAGGCTACATGAGATCCTGTCTCAAAAAAGAAAAAGAAGAAGGGGGGGACGACTAAGAAAATTAAAAATACCAGATACAATTCCTCACTGTGCTAAAGCATATAAATGAACAGTCCTGAAGGAAATCTCACCCCTTTCCTTCTGTTAAGCTAGTGTCCTCTTGCTATGGCCCTCTACCAAGATTGTTTATCCAAGCCTGCTGTGCACCTCAGGAGCACAAACACCTTCATCGGTTCCTCAATCTCCTTTGTCTTTTCAGCCTCCTTAAGCCTCCCCACAGTCTATGTAGAACCAGACAAAAGTCTCATTCATCATTTAAGATGTTATTTTCTTAAATGATATTCAGAATATTTAAGAAGGCCCAAGAATTGTTGACAACTTGACCATGAAATAGATGCATTTTTTAAAAAAAAAAAATCTGTATATGCCTAGCCCACAAAAAAAGAAACAGCAACTAGGAAAATAAACAGATCAAACCAAACTGTGGTGATGTATTGTGTCCCAAATATATTGTGCACCCTAATAAAGATTATCTGAGGATCAGAAGAAAAAGCCAACCACTATAATAAAGAGTTCAGGCAATGGTAGCACACGCCTTTAATCCTATCACGTGGAAGGCAGAGATCCGTCTGGATCTCTGTGAGTTCAAGGCCACACTGGGAACAGAGCCAGGCATGGTGGTACATATCTTTAATCCCAGCACTAACCATAAAGGTCTGGAGGTCTGTATAGACAGACAGGGAGGGACAGAGCTGGGCAGGAAGACAAAGTGATGTAGCTGGGCGGAGAGAGGAAGTGAGATGGCCGAACAGAAAGGCATATAGGCATGGGTATATAGGAAGTAGCTCTCTTTGGCTGAGGATCTCCAAGTGGTAAGAACGTGGCTGGCTTCTTTCTGCTTTTCTGATCTCTCAGTTTTAACCCCAATATCTGGCTCCAGGTTTTTTTTATTAATAAGACTGTTTAGCACTTCATCTTACACCAAACCAAAACCAAACACTGGCAACAAATACAATGTAATTGACTCTATAGTATTCATGAACCCCAGATCTGACCAGTGAAGGCGAAACACTAATACCAGAATGGTACAGCACCAAAGAAAGCAGTAATCAGAAAGAGAAAGAACATTAGTACAGCCCTACAATCAGAGACCCAGAAAACGAATGGTCTCTAGCTACTACCTTTTGCTTCTTCCCTTCCAAACTGATGGTTCCCTCTTGATGTAGAATAGCATACAAGCCTAGGTATACTTTACAAGCTGCAATTTATAAGCAAATACAAGAAGGCCACTAAAAGTTCAGGGACCTCAAACATAAATGGAAAATCCCTTTTAAAACAAAGAAAAACACCAACAAAAAACTTAGGCCCTGAAATCTAAACAAGGCAGGGCTGTGAAAGGCAAAGGAAAGGTCTAGAATGATTCTGACTACTGAGAAATACTTGATAATGTTTGCAAACTATTTTGGTTACCATAACAGGGGTAGGGTATGTAACTGCAATCGAAAGACCAGGGATACAACTAATCAACTTACAAGACACAGGTAACTGCCCCTGGAAATAGCTGGTCTAAAAGCATCAATAATGCAAAAGTAAAAATTCCTGGTCTAGACAAAAGTAGGAAAGAAGTAAAGCAGGGGAGGAGGCCTCAAGCCGTGAGGACAGCCCGCCTAGCCTTCCCTATCTAAAAGAAGCACAGAAAAAGTAGCCATCTCACTCAAACACAAATAACAGAAAAAAATAAAAAATAAAATAAAAAACTAAAATCTCAAAAAGAATAAATTTAAAAAAGGAATAAAACAAAAACCAAACTAAAACTAAACAAAAAAGGCTTAGGAATACTACCTGACAAAGATGTGAAATAGCTTCCGTCAAGTTTTTGAAATTAGACTGACTAGAGAAATGGTGCTAAGATGAAGCACATTTCCATGGAGACATGAGGACATGTTAACAGATTTTACAAGGCCTTTTCTCACTTTAACTTGCTGAGAAGATAAAGAACAATTTAAATCACACATACTAACAAGAGAAATTTCTTCTGAAAAAACCTATGACAGCAGCAAACTGCATGAAATTATTGACAAGTCTATTTTCTAAAAGTTCTGCAGGACTTACAGGCTAAAATTCACAAAAATACTGACTTAAGAGACATCTAAATATATGAAGAGGTAAGCCTGGTATGTCCATGCCTGTAATCCCAGCACTTGGGAGGTAGAGGCAGGATTGGTATGAGTTTAAGGTCAGTATGTGTTGCTGGATCCTAATGGCTCCCTTGGGGGAGGGGTGAGAAGATAGGGCATCAACAGCACAGACATCTGGAGTCAGTTAAAAAAAAATAATGAGCTAGTTTATTCGATAACAGGGAAGGCCTTATATACCCTCCTCCCAGCACCCAGTCTGCGTGGTCACCCCTCATTGGCTGGGCACGATGAAGAACTCTTGACAGCGACTGTTACTAGGCCCTCAGACAGACTCTCCACACTATAGGCCCTCTGACAGCATCTGTTGCTAGGCCTTAAAGGCAGACTCGAGGTTGGCGGATAAGGAGGTACATTATGTGTATGCCTTGACAACTGGTCTAAGCCAATTTCCTCTACCCTATGGGCCTGTCCTACTACTACAAGTATGGACTGTAGAGCAAGACTCTATCTCAAAAAAATAAATCAATAGATATACCATGTTAACAGATCAGAAAACTATTAGTAAACAAATCAAATTTCCTGAAACAGGTATGTAGAGTCAAGATAATGAAAACAAGCAAACAAAAACAGAATACTGCCGGGCGGTGGTGGCGCACGCCTTTAATCCCAGCACTCGGGAGGCAGAGCCAGGCGGATCTCTGTGAGTTCGAGGCCAGCCTGGGCTACCAAGTGAGCTCCAGGAAAGGCGCAAAGCTACGCAGAGAAACCCTGTCTCGAAAAACCAAAAAAAAAAATAAATAAATAAATAAATAAAATAAATAAATAAATAAAATAAAATAAAAACAGAATCTTTTTTTCTAAAAATTAAGAAAATGAGTTTTATTTAGAAAAGTGAAAGATCAAGAATAGTCAGGAGGAAGAGGAGAAAAAGAAGCTGCATTAACAGAGATACAGTTACATTGCCAAAAAAAACCAAAAAACACCACCAGACATATGCACATATTCATGAGGAATGCTTAACAACTGGAAGTTGACCCAAACTGAAAACATTAAGATTGGTCATATGAATGGTCATGTGTTGGTTCAATATGATCATATAATGTTAGAATGGTTAAATTAAAGCTGAGAGGTTTAATAACACTATTGTTTACATTTTATGTACACAGTTTGCTATTTGCTGTAACAAGAAGATATAGGCACCCAAGTTTGTAATAAATTCAGTAACAATGGTTAATGTAAAATTTAAAAAGTCACATAAGGGAGAGATTTTATTTTATTCAGTCAGAAGGATTGGCAAACTAGGGCCAAAAGGCCAAATACAGCCTCTAGTCTATTGTAGACAAACAAATTAAATGATTTTCACATTTTATTAAGTGGAGTCAATAACTCAAATAGCTTGAACACCTAGAATATTTGTTATCTGGTCTTTTAGAGAAAACATTTGTTGTTGTGAAATATGCCTTTACACTGTGTAAAGGTGATTGGTTTAATAAAAAACTAAATGGCCAATAGCCAGGCATGATTTTCGGGGCAGAGAGAATGCTGAGAAGAAGGGCAGAGAGGCCACAGAATGAGTCAGATACACAAAATGGGAGAGAGGTAAAAGCCATGTGGTAGAATGTAGATTAATAAAAATATGGGTTAATTGAAGTTATAAGAGCTAGTTAGGAACAAGACTAAGCTATCGGCCAAGCTTTCATAATTAATAATAGGTCTCCGTGTTGTGATTTGGGAGCTGGTTGGCGGGACAAAGAAAGACTTGCAACAGTTTGTCAACTGAAGTAGAACAACATAATCCCAGACATCACAGTAGGCACTCAGTATCTGTTGCATAACAAAATAAGGAAATTGTAACAACACTTAAATGAAACCCATTGTAGTCACATGTGGGCCAAAATGTAATCCCAGCATTTGGGAAACTGAGGCAGGAGGACTGTGAATATGAGGCCAACCTGAGCCACAAAGCAAAACCCTATCTATCCATCTTCCTTTTATACTATCTCACACATCATTTCCACTACCATTTGTCACAACTTAATGCAGCAGGACCTCTTATCCAGATACATTAACAACCTTTAAGATGACTGTCCACCTCCAAGGCCATCTCATTCCAAACCAAACAACTCTGTTCTGCAAAAACCTATCCTCCTCCCCAAAATACAAGTCATTATGTTATTTCATCTATTCAAAAACTTCTAATGCCATTGGACTATGCATTCAAGGGTCTAAATCACTGCCTATTTATCTCACATTAGATACTGTATTCAATATACATTCTATAGGGGGTAACATGTAATTGCTTATCACATTTCTGGCAGCAATAGACACTCAGTAAACTGTTAGTTATTACCATCACAGATCACATGATATTATAGCCAGGTCTTATAATGTTGTCTCTCTATTCTAGACTTTAGCACATTAAATTCCTCCTCTTTGTATTTTTAGAGACAGGTGTCAAATCTTGGTTTTACCACTTACTAGATAGACTTTGAGCAAATCATTTAACTTTCTGAATGTCAATAAAATTTAGGATCATAGCTATATGCCACTAGGTTGTTGAAAGAATAAATAACATAACATGTTTAGAATGTCTAAAGAGCAAAGATATCAATGAATATCAGTTTTCTCAAAAAGAGAGCACTTAAGCCAAGCTCAGTAGCACACCTGTAATCTAAGCTTTCAGAAAGTGGAACCAAGAAGATCATGAGTTCAAAGTCAGCCTGAGCTATACAGTGAGCTCCTGTCTCCAGAAATAAAGTACTGACTTAAAAGAACAAACAGAAACACTTTCATTCTTTCTCTTACAATAAGGCGGAAATAAAGTATCATTCAAAAAAATTGGTTCAACTACAAAATCTATCTTTACTTTTCTGGGGGAAATGCCTTAATTCCAAAGATAGTACATTTAGGAGAAATTTTCCTATATGACTAAGCAAACAAAGATATGGAATCACATCTTACCAGATGTTTATTAATTACACATTATTAAATTTAGGTTCAACATATGCCTAAGCTATATGTAAAAGTAAGTTCTTTGGTTAGCTCTAGCAGTTAACTACAAATATAAGTACATACAAAAATCTATTTAAATATCTATGAGTAATAAACCCACTTTAAATGTCCTACTAGCATGCATACATTAAAAACCCATATATATAGTAACTACTTATACATCCCTTCAGAGGATTCAATTCACCTCATTGGCCTTATACCACAGGCCTTCACATTATGACACAGGAGTTAAACTTAGAAAGCAAAGAAGGAACAGAGGAATGAAGAAGAAAGAACGCCAAAACATCCCATGTTGTTTTTTTTTTAATTTTGCTTTGCTTTGTCCTCTTTCCCACTGGTTTTGTCTAATTATTCCTACTTCATGGTAAGGAAAATGTTGGCACAGAAGGAATAAAATCTTTTTAATAAATGATTCTGGGACAAATGAACCAATAGTAAGAGAATATAGCTGGAGCTTAATTAAAAATGGATCAAAGTCCTAAATGTAAGAACTAAAAGTAAAAATTCTTAGAATACAATCTACCACTCTGGAGGTATATGTGAGTTCAAGGACAGCTTGGTCTACATATTAAGTTTCAGGTTAGCCAGAGCTAAATAATGAGGCCCTGTCTCAAAATAAATAAATAGACAAATCTTATAACACATCTGCATCAATACTTAAGACACTGCATTGAGAGGTGGCTTTTGAGATTCAACACTAATAGCACAAGCAACCAAAGAAAAACTGATAAATTGGAATACAAAAAATTGAAAAGATTTTGTGCTATAGAGGGCATCAACAAGAAATCTAAAAATATAAATCACAGAAAGGATAAAATATTTGCAATCATCTACCTATAAGGGCTAATACTCGGAATACACAAAAATAACTCTTACAATTCAGCAACCAGAAGACAAATAACCTACTAAAATCTGGACAAAGAATCTGAATGGACATCTCTCTAAGGAACATAGAAATGTCCAACAAGCAAATGACATTAGAGAATGGAAACTGAAACCATTCTCATACCAGAATGGCTCCACTAAAAAGAGCCCAGATAAGGATAAAGCTCAAGAGCAATGCAGTGTTTGCCTAGCATGCTGAAAGCCCTGGGTTCTATCTCTAGTACTGCAAGGAATTAAAGAGAGAGAGAATCACAAGTAAATGTCACAAGTGTTGACAGGGATGTAAATAAAGTGGAACATCTGTATACATATAAAATCCACTTTCCACAACATTTGGCAGTTCCTAAAAGGTTAAACATGGTTTACCACATTACTCAACAATTTCACTCCTATGTATGCATCAAGAGAGTGAAAACATATCCATGCAAAATTTTGTACACATGATATTTACAGCACCATTATTCATAACAGCCAGAGTTAGAAACCTAAAAGTCCATCCGATGGATATGGTATATATCTATACAACAAAATATTATCCTACTGAAAAGAAATGCAGTTCCAAAACTCAGTGAGCGGAGGCAGTAGGAAAGTGTGTTCAAGGCCTACCTAAACTACATGGCAAGTAGTCTCAAAAACACAAACATACATGGATAAACCCTAAAAACATTATGCCAGACACGAGGCACAAATGGCCATAGATCAAAGGATTCTACTTACAGGAGGTGGGAAGGAAAATGAACACCACTGAGGTACAAACTTTCTTGGGAGTGTTGAACATGTTTTGGAAACAGATAACTGCACAACTTTGTGAACTTAGTAAAATCTACTGATTTGTACATCTGAAGGGGTAAGTTTCAATCTAAGGCCAGCTTGAACTACACAGCAAGACTCTGTGAAGAAAGGGAAGGAGTAGAGGAAAGGGAAAGTTGACAATATCACTCAAAGGACAAAAGGATGACAGACATTATACACCCTTCCCAATTACCTACAAGTTCTTCCTAACTTCCCACTAAGTATAACTGAGGAGAGCGACAGCCTTCTAGACTGTCTACTACTAGATATTAAAGGACTCTTTGTCCCCAGTGCTAACATCATTTCCCAAAGCAAATACTTTGATTTAGCTGAAAGAATTTTTACTGATCTTTTTGATAAATCTTTCTTGATCACATTATTTAACTGTATATCTCCTCAGAAAAATTCAAAAGACAATGCTTTTTAACATTTTATTACAATTACTATATGAATATTCATACATATTTTTCTACAGTAAAAACAAGTTGCACTGGGTGTGGTGATACACACTTTTAATCTGAGCATTTGGAGGCAGATGCAGCCAGATCTCTGCGAGTTCTGGGCCAGCCTGGTCTACAGAGTTCCAGGACAGCCAGAGCTATATAAAAAGAACCTGTCTCAAAACACAAAACAAAACAAAAAACCACCACCACCACCACCAGTAAAAATCATTCATTCATTTGAGAAAGAATAAGTTGTAAGAGAATTCTCTAACAACTAAGAATCAAATGCTTTGGCTGTAATTCCAAATCTGTAAGTCAGAAAAAAATCTGATCCTGACAGATGTACTTATGACTGACTGACAGACACACACACACACACACACACACACACACACACACACACACACACACAAAATCTAATTGATATTTAGGAAGAAAATAAAACTTTAAACATTAAAAAAAAAAAAAAAAGGTGACATATTCTAAATGTAGAAAATTAGGTTTTCCTGATCCTTTTAATACATTCTTTAGATAAACCTTCCCAAAGGCAAAGTGAACATCTGCACTATACTTACCTTATCTTTGGCCTCAGGCAGTGTGATTTCTCTCGGTTCTAACAGTGGAATTTCTCGAAGAGGTGGAACACATCGTACTACATCTGGTACATAGTGTGTGTGAAACAATGGTGGCATGGAGTATCTTCGGTCACCTGATAAAGGCACTATCTGGTTAATTATAGTTGGCTCTTGATGGGGCGAATGGAAGCGCTGCCGTTTACCATCAAGAGGAAAGCTTTTTTCATCGTTTATTCTCCTGAAAACAAGCAAATATACCTTAGTGACTAGAGACAACATTCTGACAACAGAAGCATACAAATATAGAAACAGAAAACAACAGCACTGTGACTTTTGGGTAGGGTTATATCAGCAACTCCCTAGTGGACTTTTAATATTCATTTTCAGCACAAGAGATGCCTTCCAATGCTTTACAAAGACAAAGATAATTAATGGTATGCTTTTGAACTACTAAAATGAGTCATCACCACATTGAAAACAATACAGAAAAATGCCTACATATAGGATTATACAAACACTAAGAATTAAAGATAAATTCTAACAAAAGGGTAAGTAAATTAAGTGGTATATATACACATACACACACACACACACACACACACACACACACACACACACACACACACACATTTTTAAAGGTTCTGGTTCATCAGTGGGAAAAACTAAACTGACATTTTTATAAAAGCTATAAAGGGTACCAGACAACAGGAGACACTTGAAAACAAGCTGCATTTCCAATAATATGCATTAACATAAATGTCTTTTGAATGATTAAAGTGTTCTGGTTATATAAGAGAATGTCTTTATTTTTACAAAGAATAGACTGAGGTGTTTTTGGATAAAGTAAATAAAGAATGTGAACAATTTCCTTTAATATAATTCGGGAGAAAGTGTGAGAATGAGAAGAGAGATAAAAACAAACATAGCTAAACTTTGCAACTAATCAAACAAGGAGAAAGCACACATTATACTATCTTTTACATTTTTCAGAAATTTTGAAAATTTTCAAAATAACAAGAAAATAATTAGGTCAGCACAGAGTGTCTACCAAGCACCCGTGAAGCCCCAGGTACAGACCGCAGTACTAGAAAGGGAGGAGACCAGTAATTTGACAGGGAAAATTATATTTATTTCATTGATAAACTAAGTTGTTGACATAAAATACTTTATGTCACAGAAAATGGTTCAATTCCTTTCCAGCTCTAAAATCCTATGGGCCAAAGTCATCTAAAGGTTGTTATTATTACACTGCTCCTCGGACATTATTCTGACTCTTCTCTCTTTGCAGATTCACAAAATAAGTGGAACTCCTACTCGTAAGTAAACATATACAGAACTAGACACATAAAAGTACATTTGCTTTTTTTAAACCTGGAAGTAATTACAGCACATACACTGAGTATCTTCAATTAAAAATGCCAATTTTAATTTTTAACAATATCTATTACTATGATTTCATAGAACTCATCTTCACTCATGAGCTACCACTTGGCTACTATAGCTATTTAAAAAAAAATACACGAATAAAACTAATGAAGTCAATATTCTTAGAATCATTATATAACTTTCCCAATGATAATGCAGAAAAACTTGTAATGTTTATCAAAAGCCTTGGTTCTAGAAGCAGAAAGTTAGATTTCAAATAGCAGCTATACCATCTCTGCTTGAAAAACTACAACTTCTATATCCTACTACAGCATTTGTATAAACAGAAGACAACAATGAGACTTAATGACATCATTTTAAAGTTTTACAACACTACTATATTTTAAATTACTATTAATTATTTGTAACATAGAAATTAGAAAATGATTAGATAGGTTTTAAAAGGTATATTGTTGTACAAATATTAACAAAGGTTATTTTAGCAAATACCTCTGAAATTCTATTATAATTATTTTGTAATAGATGTATTTCTTTTAAAATTGACTGGTTTCTGAAATGACTATAAAAAGCCTTATATCAGCCAGGTGTGGTGGTGCATGCCTTTAATTCCAGTACTTGGGAGGCAGAAGCAGGTTGTGGTAATATTTTGTTTGTGCTCTACCAAACAAAGCTTGCCTGGAGATCAGAATGCAGAGCTAGCCACTAAAGGCCAAGCAGTGGTGACACACACTTTTAAACCCAGCACTTGGGATCTCATGCTTTTGATCCCAGGACTTGGGAGGCATGAGCCTTTAATTCCAGCACTTAAGAGGAGGAAACAGAAAATGATTTGTCTAGGTGAAGAGAAGTATGATAAGGCAGGATGGAGAAAGGAGTTAGGCCCTTTCAGTCTGAGGATTCCGTGGAGGTAAGAAGTCTGATCTTTCAGCATGTACCCTGATATCTGGCACCAGGTTTTTATTAATAAGACCAATTAGAATTCCTGCTACAGCAGGTAGATCTCTGTGAGTTCCAGTCCAGCCTGGTCTACAGAGTAGCCATGAAGACCAAGGCTACTCAAAGGAACCCTGACTCAAAAACAAAAAAATTCAAGAATCTTCTGAGCTAAAACTTTTCAAAAGATAATTAAGTGTAACTGGGTTCTTAAGGGAAGGGAATCTATTATAATGGGTATCCTGTAGAGTCAGATCACCACAGGGCAAAGGGAAGAATACTCTAGAAGGACTTCAAAGGACGCCAGCCGTGCTGAGTATGATCTGGATTTTTAGCCTCCTGATGGCATCAAGTATCAGTTTATAGTACTTTGCTATTGCAACCCTAGTAAATTCATAAGAAGGCATCTGATGTGTCTGATTCTCAAAACACAGATTTCTGGAGAAACATAACTTTATTCCAATTAAAACCTGCAGTGGCAGGAATAAAACATTACAAGGTTCATTAAAATGTTTGAACTCAAAGAAGTTTTAAAACTCTGTGACTGATCTAATTGCATAGGTTTCAGAAAACAAAACGTAGGCCACACTGTCCATATAATTTTATATAACTGATAACATAGTTCTTAGGACTATAACATTTCTTTTAAAAACAGCTGAAAATACTTACTTCCTTCCTCGAAATAATGGGGATGTCGAGGTCTGTATTGGACTGACAGTTCCATATGTCAGGGGCTGTAAGGTCACAGCTCTAGAAAAGCTACAAAAAACACAGAATAACATAAATATTTTTCCTTAGAACCAAAAATTCCACACAAACTAAATACTTAACTAATCCAAAGAAAACAGAGTTTAATAATATTTTCTCTGCTTTCAAATACTGAATACAAAAATATTATGCCAAAGAAAAAGCAGATAGTAATGACATGGTTGAATATAACACCATACTTACTCTATATTTTGAAAGTTGTATTGTGCATCAATAAGTTGCTGGTGTGAATAAAGAGTTGGTGAGAGAGCAAAGAAGTTATTATGCTGTTGGTGGTTTGGAGTGAAGGGTGGACGACCCAAAATTGAGTTTGGGAACATGCTCTTGTTCACTGAAGGTGAACATGTATTCTTCTACCTGTAATTTAAGAAGATAATACTAAATTACTATAACTTAAAGACACAGAACTCTTTGATAAGTATTATCTACTACTTAAAACAATCAGCTATCAAATTAGTCATTTCATTTGCAAAGTTATTTCTAAAGGTTTAATAGGTCTTAAATTCTACTATGGGCAAATCACAAATAACTAACAGTTCATTTAAAATGTAAACCACGTTCAAACGCTTTCAATAATATGCATGTTGAAAATTTTCTGATGAAAATTATCTAAGTTTACCTTCATAGCAACACAATTTTTACCACCATGATTCTAACAACAAAAGAAATCATTCAAGAGATTTAATTAAATTGCTCAGATCCTTACATTTATTCACAACCTAATTCATAAAAAGGTACATGCTATCAGGTAAGGATATGGTACTTTACATCATCTGAAGAAATAAGGAATGTATGTTACCTACCAATTCATAAAATTCCAAGATTCTTCTCAATGGCTATACACAAAAGACTTGCAATAAAACAGTTTTGTTCCATAGAGGAAGGAAAATCATAGAGGACAATTAGAACATGTCATTAACCTAGGAAGACACTAGATGCTCTTTTTTAAATTTTTTTCAACGCCTAATGCAGCAAAGCTACAGTCTTCAAAAGGGTGGGTAAGGTAGCATAGAAAAACCAAGAAAACCAATTAAAAATGACACTCCCTGATCACCAAGCCAGGCATGGTGGCACACACCTTTAATCCCAGCACTCAGGAGGCAGAGGCAGGCAGATCTCTGAGTTCGAGGCCAGCCTGATCTACAGAGTGAGTTCCAGGACAGAGAAACACTGTCTCAAAAAAACCAAAAAACCAAAACACCAAAAAAAAAAAAAAGGTGGAAAACTCTTAACTGAAAAGAAGTACACACCATAACAATAATCAAAACGATATAACATAGTAAAAGGGTCTACCATCAAGTCAACAGAATTACATGCTCAGCCTACCTACAAGAAATGCTAACAGCTGCCAGGCACAACTCATATATAAGAAGCTTTCATTTAGACTTAAAATAAGGCATCCATAGATGACCAAAGAGGGAGGGAAAAAATGGAAAATAAGCAGAAACTATATCAAATAAACATTCAAAGAAAAAAAAAAGCCCAGAGAACCCAACTATGTGATCCAACATTATAATAGAAAAGTCCATGAAAAACAGAAAAACACACGAAGGAGAATCACTAAACAAATCAAAGAAAAATATGTCCTGGACTAAAAATCTCAATCTCAATCTCTCTCTGTCTCTCTCTGTCTCTGTCTCTCTCTCTCTCTCTCTCTCTCTCTCTCTCTCTCTCTCTCACACACACACACACACACACACACACACACACACACACACACAGATGGAATTTTAGAATATTCAGAGAAAACCAGTTTATCAATATTCCAGAGGAGGAAATATTAAAAAGCTGAGGATCAACATGTCTTTGGCCTTTCTAATAACAATAGTAGAAGCCACAAGACACAAATTAATGCCCTTAAAGCTTTAAAGCTTAAGTAAAATGTTAAGCCACAAGGCTATCCCTGTCTATAGTATCAACATAAGGGAAAATGAAAATCCTTGTAGATATGAAGGGTAAAGAGAGAAAGATGAGGCAAGGTGGCACACACTAGCAGTCCCAGCACTAAGGAGATTGAGTTGGAAAGTGCAAAATTGTTTTCAGCCAGTAGTGGTGACACACAAGAGGCAAGTGGATTGCCATGAGTTCAAGGCCATCCTGTTATACAGAGAGAGTCTCAAGCCAGCTCGAGTAACATAGTAAGACCTTGTCTCAAAAGAAAGAAAACCCAGATTAGGGCAAATTCCCAGAATGATAAGGGAAGTTCAATAGCTGCTCAAAGTCAAAGAGAAAGATGGTCTCAAGATGATACTCAAGAAATGCAAATCAAAACAACTTTGAGATATCAGCTTACTCCAATCCAATGGCAAAGATCAACAACAACAACAAAATAAAACAATAACAAATGCTGGAGGGGCTGTGGGGGAAAGAGAATCCTCATTCATTCACTGTTGCTGGGACTGCAAACTGCTCTATCCACTCTGGAAATCAATGTGGGTAAATCCTCAAAAAGCTAAAAATAAATCTGCCATATGACCCAGCTCCACCTCTTGGCATATGCCCAAAAGACTCAACATCCTGCTCTACAGACACCTGCTCAGACATGCTCTTTGCTCTATTCACAATGGCTAGGAAATGGAAACAACATAAAGGTCCTTCAACTGAGAAATGGACAATTACAACGTGGCGTGTATATACACTATGGAATAGCATTGAGCTGTATAGAAAAATGAAATCATGAACTTTGCAGGTAAATGGGTGGAACTAGAAAAGATCATATTGAGTGAGGCAACCCAGACCCAAAAAGGAAAAATGTGGCAAGTTCTCTCTCATCAGAGGCTCCTAGCTCCAGATCTTCAGAAGTGAGTCCATATCCTAGAGTTCCTGTAGAAACCAGTAAAAAGGAACCATGGTTGGGGCACAGAGGTGGTGAGCAATAGAGAGGGGACTAGCAGGGAACAAGTGATCTGCCAGGGAAGGCTCTAACTAGGGAGTAGGAGGGAACAAAATATAGAAGGAGGGGGTAGAGGTTAAATAATAGTGAGGATGCTTGAAAAAGTCATAAGGAATCATGCTATTAACTACCTAAAACAAAAACCTTTAACACACACACACGCACACGCACACGCACACGTACACGCACACACAGTTTAAATGAACTTTTCTCATCTGGGCTGACAATGTTCCTTCCAAGAACCAATGACTAACAAAATGCCCAATGCCAGGTATTTTGAATTGTTGGTCAAGGTTGTCAAACAGCATTACAGGGTATTGCTACTGTCCTTGGTTTTCCCCACAGAGGTGAAAGGTTCAGCCCCTATTCCTGAAGACACCATGCACTTAAGACACAGAGTCCAGAGGCCTGAGCTGGAACTGACCTGAATGCTCCTTCCCTGAAGCTTTCATGAAAACTTCCCAAAGGAGAGAAGCAACCAACAGTCAGTCCTACAAAGCTATGAGCCTGTGAACCACAACAATGACCAGCACTGCATGATAACTAAGGGTGCAGCAGTGGCATGCACACCTTGGCAGTAACCAACAGCTCTCTAATTGGACTTAGGACCCACTTAAAAGAGGGTCTGGAAACCAACCTAGCCAACTACCCACAGCTAGTGAAGTCACGGATCTTGGAGGAAAACCTACAACCATCACTTTACTAAACCAACACAATCCCTAACCACATTCTAAATATTTGTCCTTATACCCACAGATTAATGCAGTTCTCACCTCTCATTAAGGAAAATTCTCTTTGCAATAAACAGAGACCATTAAAAACCACAACCAATCAAAACGCAGAGTCATATAGCCCAGTCCCTGAGGATATATCTACAACACAATTTCCACACATGGGGAATACGTGGGAAGAGGGGGCCAAAAGATCTAAGACCAGTGAGTTTGCTGTGAGACTGTCTCCTAGTAATGTCAGAGGCTACACCCATAAGTCTCACTATAATGACTTCTTAAACACGAACTCAACAAAGACAACAACAGACATGGTAAAGTGGACTGGGGAAAGACTACAAAGCCTCAATCCTACACAAAGAACTACAGACAACTAAGGGCTGCTGAGAGTGGGAGAAACAGTCTTCCCCAGGGAAGAGCACATCAACTGGCTATCCAATACTGAATGCTCAGCCCTAAAATAATACATACAAGCAACATTACACAAACTGAGCAGGTTATATTTAGGAGTGTGTGTGTGTGTGTGTGTGTGTGTGTGTGTGTGTATGCATGCAACAACAATTTTTTTTAAAAGCTATGAATTCAAAAGAAAGCAAGAAGGGGCAAATGAAAGGGTTTGAAGAAAATAAAGAGAAAGGGAAATGATGTAATTATAATCTCAAAAACAGAAAAAATATGCCTGGCAGTGGTGGCTCACACACCTATAATCCCAGCACTCGGGAAGCAGAGCCAGGCGGATCTCTCTGAGTTCGAGACCAGCCTGGTCTACAGAGCAAGATACAGGACAGGCACCAAAACTGCACAGAGAAACCCTGTCTTGAAAAAAAGAAAAAGAAAAAATAATAGAAAAGAAAATAATACTATTAGTACTGATAAAAGTCACTATACAGAAGAGCACTTTAAAAATAACAAAAACAAAACAAAACAAATTTGTAGATTATCCAGTGAATTTGCCCCAAGTGTTTTTCTAAGACATCTGTTTTTTTGTTTGATTTGGTTTTTGGTTTTTTGAGACAAGGTTTCTCTATGTAGCCCTGGCTGTCCTTGAACTCACTTTGTAGACCAGGATGATCTTGAATTCAGAGATCCACCTTCCTCTACCTCCCAAGTGCTGAGATTAAAGGCATAAGCCACCACACATACAGCCTGGAAATATTTGGTTCTTGCAGTAATAAAACCATTTTAAACAAAAGTTATGTTTGTTATATATCATTTACTATATATTACATATTTGTAGTTACACATTTATGCTATGAATTTATATACTGATATGGCAAGTTTTATTTATTATGTATGCAAAGGATTATTCAAGTTATAAAAAGTGCTAAATTTTCTTTTCTGATAAGCAAATCAAAGAATGAGCTACAAAAGCTTTTTTTTTTTTTTTTTTTTTTTTTTTTTTTAAGTAAAAGACCAGGTTTATTTAGGCAAAGCACTCCAGGTGGGGGGACAGGAGAATAACATGGCCTGTCTAAAGGAGGGGGCTTAAATACCCTGTAGGCACGGGATGAGGAGGCATCCTCCACAAGCTGGGTTATGCTCAATTATACTGCTTTGGGTGGGGCCTTAGGGAGCTGGAAGCCTCAGGGATAAGGAAGTGGACTTCTGGTGGTCTTTCTGAGAGGGTGGGGTTTGGAGATGAAGGAATGAGCCAAGCTGGAGATTCCAGCCAAACATCCCAAACTTCTTGGATATATATTAGAGTTCAAATCTGGCTACTTCATGCTGACATGGGACGATGTGGGGAGGGGGAGTCAGGAGTTGGTGGGCTCACACTCAGCAGGAGGTATGGGTAAAGCATTGGGTTAACTGTGCTTTTTCTTTCAGTTTTTTGTTTTGTTTTGTTTTACAGAAGAAAAAAAAATGCCTAGACAGAAAAGTGTTATTAGAGAATGAAACTAAAAGGATTGGAAAAATTAAGAGTCAACAGAATGGGAGGAAGGGGGCCTGAAAAGACACTAAAACTCAATACAAATTTTGTTCCTTGGTTTTCCCATTCTGTGAAATTAAAATTTCCTAGGTTGACCACATATAATCAGATTCATTTGTCCAAGGTTCATCAAAGGTAGTGGACAGGCAACTTATCACCATTCTCAGACATCCCTCCAAATACCTGACTCTAATCTGTACCAGAGACAAAGTGCTGTCTATAGGAAATCAATCTGTCAAATTCCTCCAGGAAGTCTGTGAAGGGTTCACAACACGCCCCCACGGTCGCATATACCAGGCGGACACTTCCGCCTAGCCAATTCCAAGTCAAGATAGCCATTTCCAGGTCAAGGCGTCTCGTGTGACCAGGATCCGTGATGTTACATGGCCACGTAAGCGCGCAACGTGACCATGTGATCTACGCATACGCGTGGAGTAGTGACATGACCTGGCCACGCCCCCAGCCGGTTTTTAAAGCGGAGCGCCATATTCCCAGCTCTCTCCTCTCTCCTCTCTCTCCTCTCTCTCTCTCTCTCTCTCTCTCTCTCTCTTCTCTCCTTCTTCTCCACGCACGTGTCTCTCCCACAGGCCTGCACTCTCTGTCCCTTTATCTCTAATAAACTCTTATAAGAGGATTCTGTCATGTTTCGTGACACTTCCTTGCAGGGTAAGAACACAACGCAGCTAAATAACTAACAGTCTGTACTTCCTCTTAGAGGTTTTTGTTTTGTTTTTGTTATTTTTTTAATCAGTATCTGCTGACCTGTACTCTCTGAATTTCACTGCTCAGAGGGAAATGGTTAAGATTTGGTTCCCTTTACTTCACTTCCCTGAACTAACTTCCCATTTAAAAACAATCTTTTTCATGGGGGTTATAAAAAAAAAATGTCATTAAGTGGTTGTTAGCTAAAATGAATTTTGCTTGACATTTCATTTTGCTGGAATACAGAAACTATGGACCTAAGAAAAGAAGCCGTCTATCCACAGAAAAACCAGAACTAAAAAGTTCTATTTCAAGTCATACCTAGTGGCACACACCTGAAATCCCAGCATTTGGTAGGATAAGGAAGGATGATCAGTAGTGTAAGACTAGCTGGGAAGACAGCAAGTTCAAACTCAACCTGGGCATAAGTAGCTTGTCTCAAGAAAACACCACGGAAGTTCTATTTCAAAGCTAGAAGAAGTGGTGCATGCCTGAACTCTCAGAATCCAGAGACTCAGGCAGGTGGGCCTTAAGTTTAAGAACATCCTGGGCTGCAGAGGAGTGAAAACTCATCTCTAAAAGCAAACAAGGGGGCTGGAGTGCTCTGAGGTCAAGAGCACTGACTGCTCACTCTTACGGAGGACCCAGGTATGGTTCTCAGCACCCACATGGTGACTCACAACTATCTGTAACTCCAGTTCCAGGAAATCCAATGCCTTCTTCTGACCTTCTAGAGTACCAGGCATGCACATAATGTATGAGATACATACACATAGACACAGCTGAAAAAATAAAATAAAAACAACAACAAATACTATTTCAGGTTCATTTACAGAGGTCTACTGTTCAACACCTAGACAATTTATATCTATAAACTGTCATAAGACCGCATATGTCTGTATTCAGACTTAAAGATGCAAAAATGCTAATAATATACCCTTCACTTTTATTTCTATCCCATTACACAATCAAATCCAAACTAAGTAGAAATTAAAAGATAGTATTGTACCCAGAACTACTCTACAACATTAAAACCAAATGATTCTACAATTAAAAGCTTAGAAGCCTAGGATGATTTCAGAGGCAAAAATTTACTGTAGGGTATATATCTAATTCAGCGTATTCAAATGCAAAGTGAAGATTTCTATTTTACTATTTTATTGAGAAAGGGTCTCACTGTGTTGTGCTGGCTGGCCTTCATTTCTATGCAGACCAGGCTGGCCTTCAACTCTGTGATTGGCCTGCCTCTGAGAAGCATTCATTCTTCTGGAGTTCTTCTAAGATAAAAGACTAGTCAGGCTCTCTCAGGAATCTTGACCCTTAAGTCAAACTTTAACTGGGCAGCCTTCAAAACAGAACCATTCTTAAGAAATTTAACAGATAGCAACCAATGTTTACCCCATAAGTAGCCTATATGACCATCTAGAGACATGAAATCCTTCTTCTAATAGACTTCAATAATAATTGTAATGATATTGCAATGATGCAATGCAAAAATACAAGGGAACCAGGTGTGGTGACACACACCTTTCATGTCAGCACTGGAAAGGCAGATGAGGCAGGCAGATCTCTGTGAGGTCAATGCTTGCCTGGTCCATAAAGCAAGTTCTAGGCTAGTCGAGGCTATATATATGAGACCCCGACTCAATAGCAAAGCAAAACACAAGGAATCTTTATAAAATATAGTTTAATGAAATAGGTCAAGTGAAACTATCACTATACCAGAACTTTATAAAAGTTTAACTATTTTCTTTATAGTCTTAATGAAGCTTCCCCACTAAAGATTATCTGTAAGAAGTTATTCCACGTTATCTGTAGTAGTATGATGAATTTTATAGCAACATCCAGAAACTGATAGTATCCTACTTTTCTTACCTTAAAAGTTACTGTTTTTTAATCTGTACTCAACAGTGAAACAGAACAATCTAGGTAAAATTTGTATTGTTTTAAAAACCATTATACTAGTTCTTGCCTAGAGAAAAGACCCTTAAAAGATGGTTTTGTCGGTTGGGGATTTAGCTCAGTAGGTTGGGGATTTAGCTCAGTGGTAGAGCATTTGCCTAGCAAGCTCAAGGCCCTGGGTTCGGTCCTCAGCTCCAGAAAAATAAAATAAAATAAAAAAAAAAGATGGTTTTGTCTAATATGCTTAAACCAATGCAAAATTAGTAAGATTTATATGAAAATGAGCATACATGAGACAAGATAGTAAGAGTTTAAAAGTATTTCTAGTGAGAACAGTTTTGGGTCTCTTAATTTGCTACTGGAATTACTGTCCTCAAATTGATCTCTCCTACAAGTTATAGAACACTCAAGTTTACATAATGGTCTCTTTATCAAGATTCCTTGGAAAGCAGCATCTACCTAATACAAACAACAACTGGACGGCTGAATCAAGTTCTCTGTTCACTTTATCTAAGTGTCTTTGATCCCCTAAAATCTTCAGTTCTTTTCTCCACAACAGAAAAGGTCTAACTCCTAAATCCTGCTCACCCACTACCAAAACCACCTTCAGGGTTTTTGGTTTTTTTCTTTTTCTTTGTCTTGGTTTTTTTTTCGAGACAGGGTTTCTCTGTGTAGTTTTGGTGCCTGTCCTGGCTCTCAGTCTGTAGACCGGGCTGGCCTTGAACTCACAGAGATCCGCCTGGCTCTGCCTCCCAAGTGCTGGGGTTAAAGGTGTGCGCCACCACCGCCCGGCTCACCTTCAGGTTTTAACAGAGCATTCCTTTTTTATTAAAAACTAAATTCCATCCAAGAGTTAAAAGAAAAATCTAACAACATAGTTCCAAATGGACATTTCTCAAATGACTGAAAACTGGCCTGTTTCACAGGGACTCTTATGTATTATGGGACATTTCTAGATCACATACAATTGGAGCTATTCACACCTACCAACTAATGTTTCTATTACCAGTTGTTAGTGCAAATTAAGAGTGTTATAGTGGTTAGCACACCAAAGCATGGTAGTACTGAACTATATACTATAATGGTAGTGTGTCTGTGTACAAACACAAGCCACAAAGAAAAAAAAAAAAACATATACTTAATTTTCCAACCGGACTTGCACAATTTCTTTCTCTTCCTTTTTATCAGCAATCTTATTCTAAACAAAGCTGAAAGAGGCAAAACAAGAAAGAATACTTGAAAATCTTTTTCGTTCCTTTTATCCACAATCTAATTATTTCAAACAAAGCTCAAAGAGGCAGACACAGGGGAGGGAACTTTCAAGTCTGGGGAACACATAAGCTCCCCTTGTGTTCTTAACCAGATAAAAAGGACGGAAAGCCTGGCCACAAGATCTGCCCGGGAGAAGTGCATTCAACCACCAGCCAGTCCCAGCCTGTGTGTGCTTCTACCGAATTGACTTCACGCTACTCAATTAAGTGTCTTAACGACAAATGCCTCCCACGATAGTTAACCTGGGCATTTATCTTAGTTCTCCACTGCCTCTGGGAACGCCAGGAGGGAGTATCTGGACATGCCCACTCTTTCGGTCTAGAGAGCGGGGACGGGGCGGGGGGCGACGTGCCAGGCGGAGAGCAGAAGTCAGACCAGACCAACACTCGTTCCCCAAGGCCGGCACCCGGGGAACGCCCCTGCCGACCCTGGGGAGCCCCCGGGGGGCAGCAGCGCCAGGCTCTCCCGCGCAAAACACAACGTCGGTCGCGGCCAAGTTTCGCGCGCCGGGCCGGGGCCCAGGGCCCTGCTCACGCGCACCCCCGTCCGGAGCCCCCTCCACTCACCGGCGTCCACGCCGAGGGGCCGAGCAGGGCCCAGCGGCACCGCCCGCCGACGCGCTCCCAGGCCCGAGCTGCCGCCCGAGCTGGCCGAGGTCGGAGCAGCCCGCGCGGCACGGCGAGGCACGGCGAGGCCCAGCTCGGGCGGGTGACCCAGGCCCCGGCAGGGCGGCGGAGAGGCGAGAACCGAGACGGCCGGGCCCGCGCGGGCGTGGAAGGCTGGGGGGCGGCGACAACAAAAAAGAAAGGAAGGGGAAGGAAGAAAAAAAAAAAAGCGGAAGACCCAAAAAGTCGCCGAAAAGGCGGCGTAGACAGCCCTGTCAGAGATTCCCGGAAGATCGGCGTGACCCCGGATGGGAATAAGCAGCGGGAGGGAAAGGTCAGACTTCCGGCAGCAGCCGCCGCCGCCGCCGCTAGCGGCGAGCGCCTTGGCCGAGCTGCGCAGGCGCGAAGCCTGCCCGCTTGGGTCCACGCGGCGGGGAGGGCAGGGGCAGACCCCGGGCGGCGGCCGCCTTGCAGACCCCGGGCGGCGGCCGCCTGAGCCCCGCGGTCGCCTGCAGCCGCCCTCCCCTTAGCCTTTCCCGCGGGCCCTTTCCGTGGGGAGCCTTCCAGGAGATTATCGAAAACCCACGTCACCTCGCCCGTGCTGGAAAGATCAGTATCAAGTTTAGTTGGTTTTCTCCTCCAAAAAAAGCAGGTTTTTTGAAGACCAAAAAATGCCTGTAACGCCCAAAGCCCACCCAGCACCCTTCCCGGAACAGCTAGCACTCGCTAGTCCAACAAACACCGCTATTTCTCGGTGACTGACCTTTGGTATCTTGTGAAACTGTCTGAACTGCTTGATTTATTGGTGTCAATCCGCTAACGATAGTTCCCGTTATTGTCCCGGGAGGAAGTATAAAAATCTGACAGCTCTCAGTCTTGAAATTAATAATTTGCCGTTTTGGTCGGTTTGTTTATTGCTTTTTTTGGTTTTCTAGTTGTTTGGTTGTTATTTTCCATGCTTTTAGTTATTATTAAAATTTTAATTTTTCTACTTAACTCACAAACTAAGGTCATCATTGTGATACAGTCATTTAATAACTTATTATATACTCTATACTGATTACTATATACTATATTACTATAAACTGATTATATGTTTATATATACTGATGTTTATTATATATACTGTTATATACTATATATTATTTTACTATATAGCATGCTATATACTGATTTAGCTGAATCCCAGCTTTTTTTTTTTTTTTTTTTTTTTTTTTGGTTTTTTTTGAGACAGGGTTTCACTGTGTAGCTTTGGTGCCTGTCCTGGATCTTGCTCCGTAGAGCTGACCTTGAACTCACAGAGATCTGCCTGGCTCTGCCTCAGGAATGCTGGGATTAAAGGCATGCACCACCGACGCCCAACCTCCCACCTATTTTGATATAAAGATTTTCACTTGACCTACAAATCCTTTATAATTTCCTTGTTATTTCTTCTTTGGGGTGCTTTATAAGTGTATAGTAATGTCTGAATTACAGCAATATTTCTAAATAGCTTTCTGCTAATTTCTAATGTAATATCATTATAACCAGAGATTATAATTTAAATCATTTTAAATTTATTAAAACTTGTCATGTGGGCCCATGTATGGATGCAGTAAGTGTTCATTGTGCATTAGGAATAAAGTATGTTCTACAGTTGATGGGTAGCATGTTTTACAAATGTCAATCAAGTGTGGTTGGTTGATATTATTATTCAGATCTTCAACATCTCTATGGTTTCCTACCTTGTTTATCCTTTTAGTTATAAGAAAGGCATCTTGACAGGCTGAGACTGTAGGTCAGTAGTTCAGCCTATCATGTGAGGCCCTGGGTTCAATACCCAATGAATGAAAAAGTACTGAAATATATGATTATAATTGTGGCTCATTCTGTATTTCTTGTATGTCTATCAGTTGTTACTGCCTGTATCCATCTCCTATGAAAGTTTTATTATTATGGAATGTTCCCCTTGTAAAGTGACCTGTTCTTTGCTGTTATTGTTTTTTGCTCGAAAGTGTGTTCTATCTGATCATAATGCAGGCATTCCAGCTTTATGTTGTTTGGTACTAATTTTAAAGGGAAAATGTATTTATCACTTTTCTCCTCGCTGTGACCAAAATATCTGACAGAAAGAAGCAAATCAAGGTTTTTGTTGGCTCGTGGTTTCAGAAGTTTGAATGCATCATAGCTAGGAAGGCATGGAGGAGTTGATGGCAGCAACAGCACGCTCACACTTGCCTGCTCACACTTGCCCAGTACCAAAACCTATGCACGAACTCCTATACATTAGAATGGCCATTCTGAACTATGAAGCTGCTAATGTCCAGAATTTACAGACTGCAGAAATTAAATACCAAGGAATTAAAACTGTCCATCAAAAGAAGAAACACAAAGACTTACTTTTTACAGCTGTTCACCATGCCTAGTCATCAGAGAAATGTAAAAATTACTTGGAGACACCATCTCCCTCCAGTCGGAATGTATCAAGAAATCGGCCGACAAGTGTTGACGAGGAGGTGGGGTCAGTGGGCACCATCATACCGAGCACTGCCCGAGGTTTCTAGGCACAGGCACAGGAGAGAGGAAAGCCAACAGCTCCGTGCCATGCCTTGCAGCTGGTCAGGAAAGACTCCACCAAGCGCCACCTGACCCAAGCAAGAGCCCTGGCACCTGGCAGTCCGGCACAGTTGTGGTGAGAGAGTACAGGGTGGGGAGGTGGAAGAGAGAGAAGCAGATCTCCAGCGGTCAGGGTGGGGAGGAGAGGGCTAACGCGAATGGCCTGCTGGCCGCCCAGGGTGTTGTCTAGGCCTGGGCCATGGCCAAGGGCCAAGTATTTGGGGGGGAGGGGCGCTGTGGTTTGGGCTGCCTGCCACCTGGGGCCATATTGGTATGTGAGGGCCAAAATGCCACATCAATGCAGATCCTGGCTGTGGTAGGACCATGGACCCAGACATGGTCCTATGTAACAGCCTGGGCCCAGATGTCACGATGATCCCAGGTGGCAGCGCAGGCCACTTGGATTGGCGTGGCCCCTGTGGTAACATGGCCCCCATAGTGAGAATGAGGGAAAGGTAGCCGCCTGACCAACCCAGCTACCACTCGGGCCCAGAACCAGGGCTATGAGGTGGCCCACCCCAACACCCACTGAGTCTATGAACTGTTGGAGCATGTGAAGGGGATGAACCTACAGATTCAAAACAGCAGGATCTCCACAACACAGGACGACAAGATATCCAAAGGGAGCCCCAGTCATCAGTGGTGTAGCAGAAACCAGAGGCCTCGAGCCAAACCAATGACTCAAGGCAATGAATACTTACAAGGAAAGATGAATGGACTGAAGGGTAGACTGTGTGACTCAAGGCCACACTACAGCTTCTGTGACAAGATTCATCTCTTTAAAAAAAATTGTTTTGTTTCTTTGGTTTTGGTTTTGAATTTTCTTTTAAATTTGTTTTGGATTTGGGGTGGGGAAGGTTGCAAGGGCAGAGGGCAGATGTGAGGGGATGAGGAGACAAGTGGAATCAGAATGGATGATGTGAAGTCCACAAAGAATCAATAAAAGTTTAAAGAAAAAAAAGGGGCATCACATCAGCTACCAGGGTAATTCAGAGAATTATAAGAACACACTTTTAAAATCTGTACTCCACAAAACTGAAAATCTAAACAAAATGGATAATTTTTTTTTTTTTTTGGCTTATTGAGACAGGGTTTCCCTTTGTAGTTTTGGTGCCTGTCCTGGATCTCACTCTGTAGACCAGGCTGTACTCAAACTCACAGAGATCTGCCTGGCTCTGCCTCCTGAGTGCTGGGATTAAAGGCGTGTGCCGCCACTGCCCGGCTAAATTTCTTAATATATATATACAAGCAACTAACGTTAAATTAAGAGCAAATAAGCAATTTAAATAGACCCATAATGCTTAATGAAATAGAAGCTGTAATTAAACGTAGCCCAACCAAAATAGCCTAGGGGCCAGAAGGATTCAGTGCAGAATTCTACCAGACGTTCCAAGAAGAATTAGCGGCCGGGCGGTGGTGGCGCACGCCTTTAATCCCAGCACTCGGGAGGCAGAGCCAGGTGGATCTCTGTGAGTTCGAGGCCAGCCTGGGCTACCAAGTGAGTCCCAGGAAAGGCGCAAAGCTACACAGAGAAACCCTGTCTCGAAAAACCAAAAAAAAAAAAAAAAGAATTAGCACCAGTCCTCTTCAAATTATTCCACAAAATAGAAGCTGATTCTTTTACAAGATCACTATTACCGATACCAAAACTACACAAAGATACAACAACAAAGAAATTATAGACCAATATCCCTTATGAAGGCAGATGAAAATATTCTCAATAAAATTCTTGCAAACTGAATCCAAGAACATATCAAAATGATTATCCACCATAATCAAGTTGGCTTCATCTCAGAGATGTAGAGGTGGTTCAGCATATGTAAATTAATGTAATCCACACATAAACTGACTGAAAGACAAAAAACACATGATTATCTCATTAGAAGAGAACAGGCCTTTGACAAAATCCAACATCCCTTTGTGATAAAGGTCTGGTGAGGTTAGAGATACAGAGGACATCATATCAATGTGATAAAGGTGATTTACAGCAGGCCCACAGCCAACATCTATGTAAATAGAGAGAAAAGCAATGAGTGCATTGCTATCAGGAAGAAAACAAGGATGTCCACTCTCCATACCTATCCCATATAGTACTTGAAGTCTCAACTAGAGCAAAAAGACCACTGGAGGAGATCAAGGGGTACAAATAGAAAGGGAAGAAGTCAGAGTATTTTTATTTGCAGGTGATATGATTTTACAGATAAAAAGACCCTAAAAACTCCACCAGGAAACTTTTACAGCTGATAAACACTGTCAACAAAGCAGAAGGATACAAAATTAACTCACAAAAAATCGATAGCTTCCCTATATACAAATGACAAACAGACCTAGAAAGAAATCAGGGGAACAGTACATTTCACAGTGGCCTCAAAAAATATATAAATCTTGGGATAACTCTAACCAAGCAAACTAAAGACTTCTGTAATAAAAACTTCAAGACACAGAAGAAAGAAATTGGAGAAGATACCAGAAGATGGAAAAAAATCTCCCATGCTCAAAGATCAGTAAAACTAATACAGTGAAAATTGACTCCTACAGATAAATGCAATCCCTATGAAAATCCCAACACAATTCTTCACGGAAATTGACAAAAACAATCTTTAACTTCATATGGAAACACATAAACCCAGGATAGCTAAAACAATCCTGAATAATAAAAGAACTGTTGGAGGCATCACTGTCCCAGATTTCAAGCATTACAGAGCTAAAGTAATAAAAATAGCAGGGTGTTGGCAC